TTCTGAAGACAACATAGTGGAACTAAAAGGACCGCAAGACTTGGAGCCCCTGCTGTGGCCTGTGATGCTCCACTTCCTCTCAGAGCTCCTTCTATAACTCTCTCTCTCTCTGTCTCTCTGTCTCTCTCTGTCTGTCTCTCTCTCTCTCTGTCTCTCCCTCTATCCCTCTCTTCCTTTCTTTTGAAAGAATCTCCTTACAGCACTGAGGAGTAAATCCAGGGTATTTGCACTGAGTTACACCCTTTGCCCTTTTTTATTTATTATTTTTTAAAAAACTTGAGACAGGGATGAACTCAGTCCCTAATTTTCCCATGCTCTAGCTTGAGATTCTCTTGCCTCAACCTCCCAGAATGCTGCGATTATGCCTGGCTTTCTCTCTCTATGTTCATAGCAGCATGTCAATATATTCCTTTGCTACTAAGAAATTAGCCACTCCTTGTTGAATCTGTGGAACAGTGATAGCTCTAAGTGACAAAATCCTGACTCTAGAAAGTTCTGAAGTACGAATGTGAGGGACAGTTTCATCCAACAACTTGGCACTGTGGTCAGAAACTCAGATTCCATCCACTTCCTGTCTGGCATCCTTGGTGTGTTTCCTTTGTCTCTGGCCAGCATTCCTATGGTTAGTTACGGGGTTTCTGCCACAGTTCCAGGCATCTATGCAGGTGGAACAAGAGTCAGCTCTTCTTTACGTCAGTGTGTGTGTGTGTGTGTGTGTGTGTGTGTGTGTGTGTGTGCTGGAGGGGCTTTCCTTGAACCTCTGCCAGTACACTCTCCTTTATGTCTTATTGACCACAAATTCATTGCAGGTGTCTGCATGACACCTCATTGGTTTAGAATAGTCAGAAACCACTACCAGGGCCAGAGAATGTCCCCAGACTTCCCTGAAGTTCCATATCAGGAGGACAGGAGTAGATGTTGAAGTAAAATTTGAGTTCCCTGGGCACTGGGAAGAGCATGGCAGTTGCCAAGGAGACAAAATAGTACCTTCCCCGTGGCTTAGCAAACTATCTTGTCCTTATGTTGTCCCAAGGAACCCTTCTGATGGGATGAAATTTCAGATAACTCATTTTATACTTTGCATAAGCAATGAAGGCAATGAAGGAAAACAGAGTCCTCTGGCTCTAGGTCATAACGAAGTTAAGTAGTGTCTGTAAGGACACCTCTGACAGGCAAGCAGCACTAAAGTTCTCCAAATGAGGGTTCTGGGAAGAAATCCTTTAATGGGAGTACTAGCCAGAGTCACCTTTCCTAGAAGTTAAAGCAAACTCCAACTTCAGTCCTGCAACCTATGGAGAATCCAGAGCAGGCTGTGAATTCATTCTTCTCAACTCGGTGGCACTTAGAGCACATGGCCATTTCCTTCTCTCTGGGCAGCACTGACCAAGATATGACCTAGTTCCTTGTCTTTTCTTTGTTTTCCATCCCTCCAATCAGTCGAAAAAAGCATTTGTGTGGGCAGACCAAATTTAAGATTTGGGGTCATAAAGGAAGGTTTATATAAATCTGAGCAAACAACTTAATATTCAATAGACATTCTTATTTTTAAAAATTTTTCAATTTCTAAGGCCTCTCTCACTGACTTTATTCCTTCCCAAGTCTGAGCCTCAACACTTCTACAATCTTCTTCCTTTTCCCACGCTCAGTTCCCATTCATTTCATGCACAGTGGTTATTTTTTATTGGGAGAGGGGTTGTTTGTTTCTTTTTTCTGTTTGTTTGTTTCACTGTAAGTCCATCCTTAGCTAGTATTTTCCTAAACAAAGAGAGTCTTGGTTACTTTTTTCTCATTATTGAGGCAAAATACCTGACATCCAAAATTAGGGAAGGGGAAGTTCATTTCTTACAGTTTTGGAGGTTTCAGTCCACACTCCGTTGGCTCTAAGTGGCAGGGTGGTGTGGTGGTACAGCCATTCATGGCCAACACAAACAACAAGCATAAAAAAGGAAAAAAAGAGGAAAGACACGCCTTCTTCCCCAGCAGTACTCTGTATGATGGCTCCACCCCTGGGCGGGTGTAGTACTCAATCTGAGCACTAGACAACAAAGCAATCACAAATGCCAGATTTGGCCATGGCCATGATTGCATGGGACTTGGGGGGGTTGCCATCTGAACATAAACCATAATAAAGAGGCATCTCTAAGGAAAGCTTTGGAGCCAACTGTTAAAAATCAACATTCTACCTTGATTCAGGTGATGCAGTGGAGAAATAAGAGCTAACTTCATGGAGGTAGAGATAGACCTGGTCTCCAGAAGCAGGGACTGCAAAGCCAGGGACACAGACAGGGAGGGGTACCTTGCTGACCTGGGATGGGGAGGAGTCTGAGTCGGTTGACCCTGATAGTTACTATTTGTAAGTAATGGGAGAAGAGTTTGGATATGGGGGTAAATAAGAAAAAGTGTGATGGAGCAGTTACAGAGATCTCTAGAAGCTTGATCCTGTAAAAAATGAGTTTTTGGAGAACATTGGGGAGGAGTATAATGCAGTTTCATGAGTCAGGAATGTTTTGCCAGTGGTGTGTGGATAGGTGCTGTGGCAGACATCAAGCTGTCCAAAAATGCCATTCTCCATTCCATTCTTTACTCCTGAGCTCTGGTGAGCACAAGATCATCCTCCTGCATGAGCACATGACCAAACTCAGGCCAGTAAGTGTGAAATATCAGACAAATGCAAACTGAGGAGGATCTTCCCTCTGCATAGATGTCAGGGTGCTGGGATTACAGGCATATGCCACTGCAGCTGGATTGTTTTGTGTGTCCTTAAGGAATGAATATGCTCTCCACTCTGTCACATACCTTATGCTTTCCCACTGGTTGGGGGATGGCCCTGGAGAGAGGTGGCAATACCCTCTGAGCCCTGGACTGTTCCTCTGCACTTCCGTGAGAGAGGGAATCCTCTTTCTGGTTAAGTTGCTGCCCTGGGGAACCTGAGGAACTAGATGCTCTGGTTTAGCACTGGTAACAGAGAGAGTAGATGAAAACTACTCTTCTGGGGTGAATTAGTGAAAGGGAATTAAGAATAGAACAGTTTAAGGGAATAGGAGTTCCCAGAAGAGATTTTCAAATTTAAGAAGCAGAGAAGAGCTGGGGATTTAGTTCAGTAGCAAAAGTGCCTGCCTAGCAAGCCCGAGGTCATGAGTTCAATTCCTGGTATTAAAAAAAAAAAAAAAAAAAAAAAGAAAGAAAGAAAGAAAGAAAAGAAAAAAGTTTAAGGCAGAAGAGAGATGCTTGGGGCAGGGGTGGCTTTCTGACCAGTCACTGTTGTGGGCACATAGCAGGACTATGTTGGTTTAAGTGAAGAAGGGCAGAGAACTATGATTCCATCTGTACTGAGATGATCCAAGACCATGTAGTGGGATACATGGGTGTGTGGTGCACACCTCCATAATTCCAGCACAGGGAGGCTGAGGCAGGAGGATCTTAGTTTGAGCCCAGCCTGGTTGACTTAGCAAGAACCTGTCTCAAAGTTAAAAAAAAAAAAAAAGAAAAGAAAAAAAATATATATGGGAGGAGATGTGGCTCAGTGCAAAGCCTTGGGTTCAGTGGTTAGTATCACACACACACACACAAACACACACATGCCCCATAGCAACAAAAGCAACTGATCCTCACTGAGTGTCCTTGAGTTGAATCTAAGTTCTTTATGTGCATCAACTCAGTCCTTGCAGTGGTTAACACACCTGCTTGAAAGGGGAGTAAGGAGAGGCACACAGAGGTTGCATCAAAGGTCATCTGCCGGTAGAGAACACAAGCTTCACATTCAGGCACTCTGGCTCCCCATCCAACTGAGACTGGGGAAAATGAATAAATCCCTTGACCCACCTTGCTTGCTTTCATCACAACTTTAGAGGTCACGAGCCTAAGCAGCAGGTGACCAGTGTCCCACCAGCTGTGCTCTAGGTAACCCCTCCTCACGATGGTACTGGCTCCCTAAGCCATTCTTCCGAAACTTGGAGGCCACTTGTGTCCAGCTCAAACCTGTGGAAGCTACCCACCCATTTCTGGGGCCTGTGCAAATGTCAGAGGGTGACCCTTTCACACTGGAAGGCTGAAACTCCCCCCAGAGTGCACTAGGGCTGCCATCTCGTGAACATGCATCCCAGGGAAATGGAGGAAATTTGACTCTACGTGCAGACTCCTGATTAGATCACTTGTCCTCACCTGCAGTCTCCTTTCCCCCCATGTTACACTGCCCCGCTTCTTTAGTTCCTTTAGTAACCCTCAGGAGGACAGTTTGAGACCCTCTCCAACCCCCGACTGGCTGCCTTGTGAACGAACAGAGTTCATTGCTTCAGCATTGGCCTCCTAAGTAACAAGCAGAAATGCGGCTGGCTATCAGGAAGAGCGCCGAGGGAAACTCTCCCGTCCCTCTTCTCTTCTGTCCTCTTCCTTCTTTTTCCCCAGCAACACTCAATGGCTCCATGTGCAAAACAGAAACCCCTTGGCTTCTTCCAGAATCTACCTCAGGCAGGGCAGCCATTGAAATCACTCTGGTTCATGGAAAGCACAAAAGCCTTTCTATCTGATGCTGGGTGGGCAGCTGCTGGCCTTACCTGGCTCCCAGGTGGCCGGGGTGCTGGAGGCATCAGCAAGCTGTGGTGCCAAGAGCCCCAGATCTCTGTCCTGGCTCTCACAGGTGTGACAGGATGTGGGCGGAGGTGGGGGTCAGAGCAGGATCTGTCCCTGTGAGCCTCTGCTCAGCCCTTTCTGTGCTCTCTTTTCCTGTTTTAAAGAGAGAAGACAATAAGTCCTAGGGCGCCTGGAAGGAAGGTGACCTTATAATGCATGTTCAAACCCTAAGACTCAGCTCCTGGCCAAGAAACATGCAAACTTTTTTAATATCCTTTTTCTGGATCCACTTAAATGGAAACAGCCTCCAGTATTTTTAGCAGCTGCGTAATAACAGTAAGAAAGAAGATGAAAATGTATATTTTTTTCTCTTCTAGTTGGAATAAGAGAATGAACTGCTCAGCCCTTAACAGGAAGGGAGCTCTGCTGGGAAGGGAGGAAAACACCCCAGTCCCTGCTGGCTCCTCCTCTGGCCTAGACAGGACTTAAAAACCCAGGGAAAAGATCCGAGCAGAGAAGCCAGCGAGGGGCCGAGCAGCACCAAGGTCTCTGGCACCAGGGTCTCAGCACTGGGCGCTCAGGGGAGGCCGAGCGCGGGAAGCAGGGCGGCAGCCTCCCAGGTAAGAGCCAGCCGTGCAGATTTACCTGCCAGGGGAAGGTGCCAGGCGGTGACTGGGGTCAAGGCACGCAGGCAGTGTCATTTAGCTTAGACCTGAAGTAGAAAGTGCTGCATTTCCCAGGATCGTCATGTCTACTGCTGTATTCTGTCCTCAGTCAGGGCTCTGGCCTCACCTGGCAGGTGCAGTCTGTGTTGAACCAGATTCTACCTGGTGCAGTACATTTTCAGATAAAAGACTTGAGTCTAGCACGTCCTTCTCTTGTGTTTTCTTTGTTGACATCTTTATAATATCAGAGGCATCTTCTTTTTCGTAATTTCTTACCTGTTATCTTACTGCTCTTTTAAATCTTAAAACAGAACTTTTTTTCATTTGTGATGAAACTATTAGAACTTTCCTTTTTTTGTTATGTGTGTGTATAGATTAAGATGATGTTTGCAAATCCACTTGAAAGGTTTTGAGATTTATACATATGTTTGTTTAGATTTGAATTATCATTTGTAAGACAACTTATTTTCTCTAAGTTCCCATACAATGTCCTCACAATGTCTCAAAGAAACATCTCATGAGTGACTTAGCAAGACCCTCTTTTAAAATATAAAATAAAAATGGGCTGAGGATGTACTCAGTGCAAAGGCTCTGAATTCAATCTTTAATGTAGAAAAAAAAATGAAAAGAAAAAATGATGCAATAGACTAGGTTTTAGAGGTCTGACTTTTTATTTACACATAACTTTTGCATTTGGGAGAGATTTAGAAGAAAGAGGGAGGAAAAAATAAGTAAGAATAGGCAGAATTTCAATTAATGGGTTCACTCATGTATATAAGCATGAAAGAAAAAAGAATGTGCTTCTCCATCAAAATAACAAACGACCCATATCTAGACACAGACTAGCACCAGGGCTCAAAGTTGCTGGATTCTTAGAGAAGCCAAGATTCCACCAAGATACCAGGTGACACCTGCTCATCCAGAGCTATGCCCTGGTAACTGGCAGAGCCCAGGATCTGTGCAGAAGACCCAGTGCCTTTGGCAGCTGAGGGCTCACTGCAGACTTGGTGAAGGTGACAGTCTTGGGAAAAGGGAATCAGGGAGAAGTAATGCCACTGCTGGGATCTTTTCCCAGAGAGGAGGGAAGAAAGTCAGACATTCTTCCATACAGCTTTGAGTCCTGCTGTGTCCCCAAGTTTGTGGGCTGTGGCTGACTCCCAAAGTAAGGAAAATAAGACAGATAACTCCAAATCATCCCATGGCTTTTGGTTTCCATTTTGCTGTCCTATGGTTTGAAATGTAGGCTAGACGGAGGTCTGTTCCTGTCTCCTGTGCCCAAGGAAGTTATGCCCAGGTCCATGGAAACTCTTAGCATCCACCGCTTACGCCAAGAGGGTCTGGCTGCAGACACGAGATTGCGGGTTAGGTTCTGTAGCAGATCTGGAGCCACTGGTCTGGGAGCTGATGATGTTAAGATCTCAGGCCTGGTCCTTGAGGGACAGGGGCTTTGCCTGCCTCCACCACAGTGGACTCATGCTAATGCTGACCAGCTGCCACCTACAAATGTGCCCAGCGAGTGTGGCTGGAACAGCACAAGTCCTTGGAAATTAGCAAAGCCACTCCTCTTTGATGGAAAGCCAGAGCTTTAAAGTTCGTCCAGTTTGTGGAAAACCACATTGAACTAGAGAGAGGAATTGTAACTTGTCATTACGTGCCTCTCCTTCTCATGCAGCTGAAGCACATTTGCCATCAGATGTCCTTCACGCCTGTGGGGAAAAGAGCTAATTGTGAATCAAGTAATACTTAGTCATTCTGGGAATTGGGTATTCGGTTGGAGGCGGGGAAGGAAGGTCTCTGAATTTAGAACCTGTGTCTATTTTATCTTCTCATTGTGGATGAGCCTGATCCAAAAAGCTAAAGGAAGAAAGTCCTTCTGTGAAAAAGTAGCTCATTCCTATGGGGGTGAATGGATGTCTTTGGTGTTCAAGGACAAGTCTGTTTGTGTTTGTTTTGATTTTTTTCAGTGCTGGGGATTGAATATTGAGCCTTGTGCATGCTAGGGCAGGCTCTGCCATTGAGTTACTCTTCCAGCCCCAGAGAGAGAGGTTTTAAGGTGCTTAGCGTTTAGAATCTGGCACATCACAAGTGCTTAGAGAATGGTAGATCCCATAATCATCACCCATTTGGGCCCTTGCCAGGCAGGTTAAAATTGGGTTGGCAGAGAAAAACAAGCCTGGGTTGACCCCTGAGAAAGCATCGAGTGCCAAGGCTGGAGTAGAGGCTCCCACATTTATCTTTTCGGCATCTGGCAGGTAGCAGCCCCCATGGAGAGTTCTGCAGGCAGATGGTTATTGCCCAGAGGTGAGAGTCAGCTACAAGCACTTCCCAGGCAGACCCCACTGAATTCTGAGTGCAGGAGGCCGGAGGATATGTTATAGAGCAGATGCAGCTTTTCACACTAAGTCTTTTTCCTTCTCACCAGCACCTATCTTGCATCCTACACGAACACCTAGGTAGACAGGTAAGTGTCACAGAGGCTGGAGATAAGAATAGTTGTGTGCACTGTAGTTGATTCAGCCAGATGGGGGCTGGCTTAGAAACACTGCTCCCTTGGGCACACACCAGCACATGGAAGGAGAAAGAGGCTGAGGTGCATTGGTTGCCTGAGATCTCCACTCCAAGATGCATTGAACTGGGGTTGGTTCCTCAGCCACTGAGAATTTGCTATACTGAAACGAGCACTTGAGTCACAAGACCTCTGAGTCACCCAAGGCCCGAGTTGTGGATCACTAGCAAAATATGCCTAAGAGAGTGAAGGAAAGAGTGACTCGTTTGCCAGTGACATTCGTAACACCCGTAAATCCCTAGCCATCTCTTTTGATTTTCCTTCAAAGGTCAGTGATGTCCACCCTGTCATTTGGGTAGAGAGTATCTTAAGTGACCGCACTGGAAATCCATGATAATACAGTTTTTCTAAAACCCAAAGCAGTGCTCTCATTTGCTTGAGGTTAACCATAGTCAGGATGAGGTAATGCGGCAGTCAGAGAAAGCCCAGACTTTAACTAGAAAGATCTGTAATGGTGGCCAGCAGTTGGCTACTGCTGTCTTCAGTATTAGTGGTATGTTTCCCCGACCCAGGACATGTGTCCTTCTGTGTTGAGAATGAAGTGATATAGAGGGCACCCAACCTTGGGTTGGAGAGGACCATCGGAACTATGGGTCCATCCTTCTCTGCTGACTCTGGTTTGGTTGACGTCAGCCCCACGGGCCAGAGGTCTTGGTGCACTTGTGTGTAGAATTCTGAGGGGGGATTTCCAGCTTCTCATCAGAAGTGACTGGACTTATCCTCCCTGTGAGGGAAACAATTCATCTTTCTGAGACTTACCCTGGTAGTGCTCAGAGAAACACAGGCACAGGCAAGGGCTCTACCCCTGACCATACCCCAACTCCAGCCCCTAGTTATCAACTTATCAATGGTTTATTGAGTGCCCAGCATGCTTTGAGTTTCCTGGTTTATTTTATTTATTTATTTACTTTTAAGAAAGATCTCACTATGCAGGCCAGGCTAGTCTTTTTGTTATTTTAATATCAGAAAAAGATAAAAATGATACAGAATTTGAAAAAAATTATGAAATTAACACTAGTTAACATATTTCGTGTTATCTTGAAAGTAGTTGTTTTGATCACAAGACCTAGGCATAAAAAATAATCAGTAAGACAATGAAAACACAACTGTCCTTTTTGATGAACCAACAGAGATTAGTAGTATATCTATCTCATACATACATACATATATATGTATATATGTATATATATTCTTTTCCCTTCTTTCTTTTCTCCTTTCCCCTATCCCACTTGTTGGTCTTGAACTTGCTTATGTATCCCAGGCTGGCCTCAAACTCACAGCCATCTTCCTGCGACAGCCTCCCGTGGCTGGAATTATAGGTATGCACCACCACACCTGACCTAAGTTTCCTTTATTTTCATAATAATCTATCTCTTAAAAGAAATATGACAGGAAAAAGGAAATTTTGTGCTTGTTTTTCCCTTTCTACAGTACACACTGAAGAGAGATGAAGAACCCAGGCCTGGGACATAGACCTGGTGTGCGATCCCATCTCTGCTGCTGACTAGCTGTGTGTCTCTGGTCAAATCACTTAACCTCACTGAGCACTCATAACAAAGAGTGCAGTCAATTGATAGCCACACTTTGAGGGTAAAATGAGACTAATGCAGGTGATGAGGCACAGTTCCCATTATCTAATAAACAGAGGAATTCTAGTAACCTTTATCTAATTCACAAATACCTGGTGAGATATGGAGATACAGAGTGTCCAATATAGTTGGTGGCATCGCTGAGCTTGCAGGGATAGCTGAGACATATGTGGAGACTTGGAAGCAGTCAGTATCTAGCTGGAAGTTAAAGCTTAGAGCAGCTACCAAGAAGAACTGGAAGCCTGTGACATCGGTGACTCAGGGCAGGTTGAGGGGGACCAGCCAGTCAGCTCGAGGTGGGCAGTGTGCCCCTTGAAAATCCTGTGCAGAAAACCTATATAAAGTAGCGTCTGGCTGCCACCATCCCGCACCACCCAGTGGCCTCCTGCAGTCGGAATTAAAAACGTGATCAGCCTCAAGACAGCCAGTCCTGGGAACCCTGGTTTCCTGTATGTAGATGGCCTTGGCCTCAGGCATTCCAGCAGCATTTACCCCACTTTCTGTGGGATGTTCCATCTCACTGGAATAATAACCCCTACTCAGAAACAATCCTGCAGCGTTCCTCTAGGTGGCTTTGGTGCCCCCTTGCCACTTTGCCCCCTTAGGAGCTCAGTCTGCACTGTGCTTTGTTCACTGGAAAGTGGATGGCGTCACCCCTTTCTCATGCTGTTCAAGGAGCAAAGTCTCCTGTATGTGTTGCAGCCCAGTGCCAGCAGCTTCCCGGCTTGTTCATGACACTTGACAGAGTTACGGTTGAGGGTTTCCTGTCTGTCTCCTCTTTTGAGCAATCACCCCGCTCAGGAAAATCTGAGCTCAACCTGTGGGATCTGAGAGGCTCTGATTAGAGTGGATGTCTCCTTACAGTGCAGGACAGGTGACAGGAAGATCTTCCACAGGAGCTTCTGAGAGTTCTCATTTCTAGGCTTCACAAACAAACACTGTGAGATGGGGCTCTGGACAGCCTTGCTGTGGTTTATGGCAAGAGTTCCTTTTTTTTTTTTTTTGTATTTGTTCAAAACTTCTTCAGAAAAACATCTGCATTCCATTTAGGTCTCAGGGACAGAGAGCAGGGGCTGGGGCTGGGTGCTGGATGGAAGGGGTGGGGAGAGAGTACAGCTTTGCTGCCTCTTATTGTCTGGCAGTTCAGTCTGAATGACAGAAACTCATGTGCTGCACTGAACGCAGTAGGTGCTTTAGTGATCACTGATCACTGTGTTGCTGTGAGGACCCCAGGAGCACACAGGGGTTAGCAGGGCCACAATGGAGACTCGGCCCTGCCCCCTCCCAGGTTTGAGTCTGTAGTCATTAGCAGCAGATTAGTGGGATTTTTTGTCTTTTTCTTCTTCTTTTTTTTTTATTGGTACCGGGGATCGAACTCACGACCACACACTTGCAAGGCAGGTTTATGCCGCTGAGCTAAATCCCCAGCCTCTAGATTAGTGGGATATTGCACAAGGTCTCAGTTCTCAACCTGAGCATTAAGCGGAGAATTGTTATTTGGCTGAACTTTTAAGAAGGCAATTGGTGAAACAACATTATTTCTACACCTGCCACCCACCTGCCCACATCTGCCAACGCCCCACCTCCCCTAGGAATTGTGAAACAACATTATTTCTACACCTGCCACCCACCTGCCCACATCTGCCAACGCCCCACCTCCCCTAGGAATCACAAGCTGATCCCTGAGCTTTCCTGGCTGCCTTTGGTCTTAGAAGAGATTCACTTTTGTGAAGGCAAATCCATTCCAGTATTAGAGCTCAGTCCCCTACGGCCCCATCTTTTCTTCTCTCCCAGCTGAAGCCCAGAACCAAAATACCTCCCGTGCTGCTCTAGAACCCTATGTGGTTTCTGCAGAGGTTCTGCTCCCTACCTGCCAGCACCTCCTGCTATGGTTGCCCAGGGCACGTGTGCCCACCCATGCCACAGACCCAGCTGCCCTCTTGGAGGCTCTGATGGGTCCTGTTCAGTTGGCATGAACTTGGCCTCTCCAAATCCGAGCTGCAGGCTTCATCCTCGGAAGCCTCCCTCCCGTCTCTGCCAGAATGCGGAACATTCCAACCAAGGTCCTCCTGGCCAGTCAGGCACCTGTCTCTTGCCACCTGCTGTTCACTCTGATTTACCCTCACCTTCCACGAGAGCAGCTTCCTTTCAAACGTGGAGATGCTTCTTCCTCACAGTCCAAATCCCAGGGCATTGAGAAATGCACCCCACCCATTCCATTCTATCCTCTGGGCTTCTGGGTCAGCACAACAGTCACTTTGGAGGCAGGAATGGGTGATGTGTGAGCAAGAAAAGGAAGATACTTGGTTCAGAGCGTCAGGAGAGATGGGATGAATTCTTTCTCGCAGTTTCTCGGCTTCCTGTGGACTCTTAGAATCTGTTAAAAATGCCAGTTTCCTTCAGCAGATCTCATGGCTCTCTCTGCACCTTTCTTTCCGCACAGCCCTCCTGGAGGGTCTGCTCCATCTCTCCGAGGATGGGTCTTCAGGGGACTTTCAGCTTCCTCTTAGGGCTCCTGCTTGGCTCTGTGCTCCCGGTGACTTCAGCCCCAGCCACGCCGGAGCTGCGTAACTGCAGCCACAAGGACCAACAGGTCACCATCAGCCACAACTTGAACATTGAGGTGAACAAGTCCCCCCTGGTGCAGGTGGAGGTTGACCCGAAGTTGCTCAGTGGTAATGGGACTTCACTCTTGGCCACGGGGGAGGAGGCAGAGGGACAGAACTTCGTCTTCAGGCACAACATTCGCCTTCAGACACCGCAGAAGGACTGTGACTTGTCAGATAGCTTCCAGGATCTCCTGGCCCGGGTGAAGAAACTGGAGGAAGAGATGGCAGAGATGAAGGAGCAGTGTAATGTCCAGCGCTGCTGCCAAGGGGCCACTGGTGAGTGTACCACCTGGTGTCCATTCAACACTTAACAAGCACCTACTATGTGCCAGGTGCTCCATCAGTCTCATGAGTGCTCTGAGGCTGGTGTTCCCACCTCTCATTCTGAGGTTTCTCGAGGGGGCCACTTCCCTTCTCTTTATGGGTGGGTGCATCTGGAGGCCTGAACAGGGACCAGCAGCTCTTGAGTAGACTCCTGGGTTAATACTGCTGGATGCAAATGCTTCCAGGGGTCCCCTTACCTATGGACCCAATCTCTTCTCAAAGGGGAATGGAGGAAAGTTGTCGGGCCCAGTGTGACTTTAGGCAAACTTCTTGTTCCCTCAGCTGTCTGGTGAGGGTAATTTTCCAGCTAGCATCATCCTGAGAACTAGAGACGTAGGTATAACATCCCTGGCCTATGGTAAATATTCAGGAAGTTGGAGCTATTAGCTATAAAGTGATACAATTTCATTTTTATGGTAAAGTTTCCTATGCCTACCCTTTTCTAAACATAAACTGCCCAGACTGCACTAGATGACAGTGAGTACCTTGTTCGGCACACATTTTTATACCTGAAGGAACTGCCATGGTGATCAATCCTTGTGAAATGTCAGATGCAGTATTAACAGCTGAGGACATGGCCATGGATCAAACAGGGTGGACCTGCTCTGGGGCGCTCAGCTTTGGGAGGGTCTTTAGGAAGGAACATAGGTATTCTGAGAAGCAGAAGGGTCCAGGCCCCCACCCTCAGGAGAAAACAGTCTAGATCTCAGTCTGGATTTCAGTCCACCTTCCTGGCCAGCGTCCCACCACCAAAGGAGCCTGTAAGTCCCTTTCACAGAAAGGCACTGAATAATCACTGCCCTCTAGACGGAAGGAACCAGGGAATTCACTCAGGAAGGGCAAAGGGTGGAGGCGGTTGTGTAGCTCCCTAGGCCAAGGAGAAGCACCCAGCAGGAAAGCCGGCCCAGTCTCCCCTGGGGAGCCCATCCTCCTCCACAGTCGTGAAGCCACCGTCTTCTCCAACCTGCCTCCAAGCAAGGCTCCCACCCCCACGCACTGTCTACCATGCTTCTCCTCTTCCTCCCAGATCCGAGCCGCCACTGCAGCGGGCACGGCACCTTCTCCCCCGACACCTGCAGCTGCCACTGCGAGCAGGGCTGGGAGGGCGCCGCGTGCGAGCTGCCCACCTGCCCCGGGGCGTGCAGTGGCCACGGGCGCTGCGTGGACGGGCGCTGCCTGTGCGACGAGCCCTACGTGGGCGCCGACTGCGCGTACCCGCCCTGTCCACAGAACTGCAGCGGCCACGGCGTGTGCGTGGGTGGTGTCTGCCACTGCCACGAAGACTTCACCTCAGAGGACTGCAGTGAGCAGCGCTGTCCCGGCGACTGCAGCGGCCACGGCTTCTGTGACACCGGCGAGTGTTACTGCGAGCTGGGCTTCACTGGGCTCGACTGCTCCCAGGGTGAGCGCAGAGATGCATCCTTGCGTTCACTTTCCCTTCCCTGAGGTCTCCCCGAACGTTTAACCATCAGCTGCATATAGTCTTGTGCAGTGGTCCCAACCGCTTACAGCAGAATCTTCTGGAGGGTTCTTTAAAACAAACTGCTGTAATTCCAGCACTCTGGGAGGCTGAGGCAGGAGGATCAAAAGTTTAATTTCTGCTTGGGCAATTCAGCAACTTAGTTGGACCCTGTCTAAACAAATAAACAAAGGTAGGGGGTCTGAGAATTTGCATTTCTACAGTAGACCTGCTGGTTTGGGCTTGAGCTTTGGGGACCCCTGGTCTTCCTTGTAATCGAATGACCACTGCAGGGCAGAGAGTCCATATTGACTCCAGCCAGATCACAACTTCCTGGGGTGTCTGTGTATAGACAAGGGTTCCACCCGCAGGCCCACACCCTCCCAGCCCACCCTGCCCTCATAGTGCTAAGCACGCGGCAGTGCTGAGTGGGTCCTCACTGGCAGGGATTTCTACCCCTTCGTCCCGGCCCTCTCTCACCTGCCCCTGTTTTGCATCAGTCATCCCCCCTCAGGGCCTGCAGCTGCTGAAGAGCACCGAGAACTCGCTGCTGGTGGGCTGGGAGCCTTCCAGCGACGTGGACCACTACCTCCTCAGCTACTATCCCCTGGGGAGCGAGCTCTCCGGGAGGCAGATCCGGGTGCCCAAGGAGCAGCACACCTATGAGATTCCTGACCTGCTGCCTGGGACCAAGTACATCGTCACCCTGCGCAACGTGAAGAAAGACATCTCCAGCAGCCCGCAGCACCTGCTCGCCACCACAGGTGAGGAAGCAGCCAGCTGACTCTGCTCTTTCAGGAAGGGCCCCGTACTATTTTCTCTACTCTTCCCACAGACACAACACTCTCTGTTGATCAGGCCATTGATCTAGTTTTGGGTTGGAAAGTTAGGGTTGCTTCAGTCCTAGATTCTGAGAAGAGTTCCAGTTCTCTCTCCCCGCTCCCTGATTATGGGTCCTCCGAGCCTGTAATGGCATCCTGCCCAACTGGGATTCAAAAGGTCTCGGCATCCCTGAGATTGCTCTGCACTCTGCCCTAAACCCCCACCAAAGCCAAAGAATTCACTTACATCCTTAAGCCCTCCCTGGGCCTCCAAGACCACATGAGTTTACATATAGGTATGGAGCTGCCAAGATTGCCTGTATCAATGAGCTCCATCTCGGTAGGAAAGAGGACACATACGGGCAGTTTAAGGAAGGGGTTTTTTACAGAGGTATGAGTGACACTCTAGTTCTAGCATCATTGGGATCCACCCTTTCTCAATGGGGCAAAAGAGTGGGTGTTAGTATTTGGCCCCAGAAAAAGCCACAGTCATTTGGTAGAGGCTTGCAGGCTTTCCACTGTATTCCTGCAGGGAGGAAGTGAAGATCAGTCGCCTGAACTCTCTCCGGCTCTCTGATCTGCTGGTGACCTCTACTGGCAGGACTCAGAGGCCAGAGGGGAAGGGCCCTGAGTTAATTCCTAGAGTCCATAAATTGAAAAACAGCAGAACAGAGAACTGGTGAAGGCTGGCTTAGAAGGACAGGAGAGGTTTAATTCCATGCATGGTTCTGGTGAATTCAGGCTATGGTTGGTTGGCTCCAGGCAGAAACATGGTGGAAGGGTGTGGTGAAGCAGAGCTGCCTGGCTCTTGCCTGTAAGAAAGCAGAACAGAGGAACAGTGTCAGAGAGGAAGGGACAGGGACCAGACAGAGACCCAAGGCTACACCTGCATGACTCGCTGAGCCACCACCAGCAGTGGGTTCCATCAGCCCCCTGAGTGTGTTCTAAAGCCAGTCAAGTGGGTCCTTCACCCTAACTGCCACACCAATGCACTAGGCTTGCCCCTTGGTTAATGCAAATCCAGGAAACAGCCAAGAAGTAAAATAATGGAGAGAGACTTATTACCTGCATTAAGTAAGGAGAAGCCCAAAGGTGACTAAAAGCGGTGTTCTCCTCTGAACAAAGAAAGCAAGGAGTTTTTATTGAGACAGTTATTCATGTAAGAAATACTCCTTATCACATGTAGAAATGCATCCAGTCCTGAGCATGCTCAGGTCATATATCTCATGAAAAAAAAAGTGTCTGACTTGAACACCTCTGCAGGAGGAATTTAGTATTATAATGAAAAAGTGTGAGTCAGAGTGATTTGACCATTTTGTCTGGTTTCTTGTCCATCTCTCCCAAGACCTTTAGTTTTAACAGCTGTTTTTTTGTGGAGGTTCTAGGACTCAGACTCAGGACCTCAGGCTTGCCAGGCAGATGCTATGCTGCTGAGCTTTATCCCTGGCATCGGTTTTAACAGTTTTGAAGGCAGTTAACAGTCTTAAAGGGCAGCAGGTTTCCCCTTGAGTTGAGTGACTCTTATCCACTTCTCCATTTCACACATTTGTGCCAAGTTCCTACTGTGTGGTAGGCTCAGTACAATGTGCTGATGACAGTTCAGTGCCTCCATCCTGCCCTAAGCTCCTGGGGAAGGGCCCAAGTGGATGAGACTTTGGATGCATTTATGTTTGCAGAAACATCAGGTTGTGTGTCCTAGTTTGGAGGCAAGAATAGGGCAGAATGGGGATGGACAGCACTGGAAAAAGCTGGGGGGGAGAGAGAGAGAGAGAGAGAGAGAGAGACAGACAGAGACAGACAGAGACAGACAGACAGAGACAGACAGACAGACAGACAGACAGACAGAGAGACAGAGAGAGACAGACAGACAGAGAGAGAGATGGCAGCTTGAGGGCACAGTTTGTGAGGACCTGCGTCAGTATCTGCAGCTGGAGACCCCTAGAAATACCCCTGTAGTTGAACAGGGTTGATTGTTTTAGCCTGGCAGAGTGCCCACCATGGAAAATCATGGGGATACCCCAGTAAGAGGGTTCAGGAATGGAGTGATTATAGAATTTGGGTTGGGTTAGCTAATTTGGGGGAAGATTTAAGGAAACAGGGATTTGTTTTGACTGGTTGCTTTCAAGAAGTGGGGGTAATTCTGTGGTTGGTATCTTAGCGAATGTCATGTAGAGGCGGGCTGAAACTTTAATTGGGAAGAAGTAGCTGTCATTCCCATTAGTCAGGAGAGGGGATATTTGGTCATTAGTGGAACCAATAGCAACTTTTTGTGTTCAGCTGTGGTCACAGAAGAGATGTTTTTGTCCTGGTCTAGTGTGGTCGTGGAGTGGCCTTGTCTGATGCTGAGGTTGAACTGGTTATGTCCAGGGGGAGAACACCACGCTGTGAGAGCCAGGCCAGCTCCTGGCCAGCAGGGGCTGCTTTCCTCCTTCCTCTACTTTTGTTGTGTCTGTGTCTGTGTACAGCCAGGACAGTGTCTAGCCTCCCAGTGACAGACAGGGACATGTATTCTGAAAGTTTAGTCCCTCTAAGACTTGTAAAATCCTGTTACTGTGAGGTTTGTCTTTCTGTCTAATGTGATTCAAGTTAAACCCATTATTTTTTTTTTTCCTCCTAGGGCAAGCTCAGACTGAACAGTACTTATCCCCCATCATAGTCTTGAATGCTCTCATCAAATCCCTGTGTTTTCACTGGTGACTCCCTCCCAGCTCTCTTAAGCCATGTAGGACTCTTCTTCAACCCTTCAGTCACCTTCATTACTCTCCCCGTCACATGACCCTCAGGGAATTCTGTCTTTGCAGGAAATCTAGAAACAGAGCAGGGAGGAGATTTGGCAGGCAAAAGCTGGTAGTAAGAGGAAATGCTTGGGAGGAGAGGTGCAAGGAGGTTCTTTATCCACACAGGAAAGTTCGGTCCATGCAGGCTGAGGAACATTGAGATCAATGATTCACACCTTCCCTGATGTACTGGTTTCCTGTCTGTCTCCTTGACAAGTGATCATCCAGAGTGAGCAGAAACTTCCAGAGAGTTACGGTGGAGATGAGACAGCAGAGTGGACAGGGCTGGGAATCTAGGGGACTTACGTCTTCCCTGTTCCAAATTTCAAGGCCAACCTTCCTCTTCAGCCTGGGATAAAGCAGTTGGAATTCAAAGTGCTCTTCAAACATGCTAGCGCTGTCCTCCAGAAAGCTCTTCTGCAGGAGCAGAAGTCTATTTCTTGGTATTAGTTATTACAATTTCCTGTTTTTTCCAAGTGGAAGGGCAAACATTTAGCCCTAAGTTCTTTCCTATGAATACAGATGTGTGATAACGCCTTATTCATAGCACAGATCGTACATAGGTACATGAGAAGAGATGTGGCAATACTAATGTCTGTTAGAAGGGGCAAAGAGGATACATAGAAAAACCAAGTTAGATGTCTCCTACTTGATTGTTTTTGCCATAGGTCAACCTTTAGTGGGGAATTTTAGGGAAAGGGCTATAATTTGGGTGCTGGAAGAGGGAGCTGGTATAGAAAACTTGAAATGTCCCCAACTTTACACGGAAGGGCCGTGTACCTCATCCCGAGGTTTTCTGTGAGGGTGGGGACTTGGTAACCAAAGGGTAGGCATTGGTTAGAGCAGCCTGAGCCCTGGCAGGGTGGTGTGCATGGTTGGCCTGAGTGCCATGGCTCAGCTTTGCATAGTCAGCTTGGGCAGGAAGGGCTGCATGGCCCCTGATGGGATGGGGCACCAAGGTTTTCTCAGAACACAGTTTCTTTCCATGGTGAATATGAACAATAGCTAGTTGTTACTTGGGTGGCTCTGAGAGCCCCCTTAAGCTCTGAGTGGGTCAGGGAGGGAGCTGAGTTGGTACTGAGGCCTGTTTCACACCTTTAGGACCTCTGCTCATCACTTTCTCTTGCCCTCTCTGACCCCTGGCCTAGATGTTGCTGTGGTTGGCACTGCCTGGGTGACAGAAGAGACTGAGAACTCCCTTGACGTGGAGTGGGAGAATCCCCCAACTGAGGTAGACTACTACAAGCTGCAGTATGGCCCACTAACAGGGCACGAGGTGGCTGAGGTCACTGTACCCAAGAGCCATGAGCCCAAGAGCCGATATGACATCACTGGTAAGAGTTGACAAGGGGGACATGAAATGATGCTGGGGATGCTGCGTGGGGACAGTGTGCACAGAGGCCCCCGGGACCTTCTCTCTCAAACCTGACCTCGAGACCGGCAGGCACGGGCCTGTCCCCGAGGCCTGCAGACTGTGTCCCAGCACCCCAGAGCTGGACTCCCAGAGCACCTCATTAGCAGCACACTTTGGAAATGTTCTCCCAAGTGAGACCATGTCTGTGTATTAGGACGGATTTGGTAGCATGCAGACTTGCCTTTTGGGAGTATGTGTGTGTCTGTGTTGAAGTGTAAGAAGGTGGTTGAGATTGTTTTGTTGAGCATGATGCCCAGAATGATGTATCAGGAGGCCTGGAGTGGAGACTCTGAGCTCATTCTGCTGAGAGCTGGAACTCGATTTTATAATGTTTGAAATTTATGCAATTTTCGGGGCCCTCTTTAAAAAGTGCATACACTGTCATGAGTATCCAGTTAGGCACGGTGCTTTGGAAGAAGTCCATGAGACTGAGGGTCCTGAGGGCTATTTGCCACTGAGGGCTATAAGACCTCTTTGAATCGTTTTTTTGCCATCCACTCCCCCATTCCTCCTTGGGAGAATGTCTCTTAGCATTCCCAACATTTATGGAGTGGATGAGTGGAAGCCCTATGCACGCTGCTGTTTGACTTCCTCCCACCAGTGGAGCCTGAATGTTGTCTCATAAGGAAGATTCATTCGTATTGCAGAGAGGAGACCAGCTCTGTGCAGAGCTGCCTTTGGGTCTGAGCTGTTACTAGGGAATTGAGAGAGAGAGAGTGGAAGTGTGGAGAGAGCCCTGGGTTCTAGGCTGGCTCTGCCTCTGCAGAGAAATAACTTTAAAATAGGGGAAAATCTAGGCTATTACAATGAAAAAGAGAGGAATTTTTAAAAGAAAATGATTTTGGGGAACAAGAAAATATTGGGGCTGTACATAAAATTGAAAAGTAAATTCTAGAGGACCCAACAAAAAAACACCCTCCACCACTCACCCCTCATCTGTCCTGGTCCTCCTGCAAAGGGCAACCCCTTGATGGGGCCTCAGGTCCTGCTGATCATGGGATCAGAACCCAGCATCTACCCCTCACAAGAGAGATCCAGGGAAGAGCAGCGCTGCACATGGCCCAGAGCCTGTCCTCACATCCTGCTACCTATTTCCAGGTCTGCAGCCTGGGACAGACTACAAGATCACTGTGGTCCCCATAAGAGGAGATCTGGCGGGCACACCGATTCACCTGAACGGCCGGACAGGTAAGCTATTTGGAGGCACTGCGGATGTTTACTTATGTTCTTATTCTCATGTGTTTCTTGGATGACTCCTTTCTGAGAGAAAGTTCTGGGATTTACATGTAGAGAGGTGCTACCCCTTTAGCTATGAACATCTATTTTGAGGTGGGGAAAGGCAAACTTTTATTTCAAATTTTTCTTACCGTAGAAAATCTCCCCTAGAACCTTGATGTTAAAGGAACCAATGATTTCTGGCATTCTATTTTTTACTTATTTCAGTCACTGGTTTTAAGGTGCTTATTATCTTGGGCCTGGGGATACAGCTAAGGACAGGTGGTCTCTGATTTCTTTCTCTTAATGCACTGTTTTTCCTGATGTTCACACTTGAACAATCTGCTTTCAAAATGTATTAAAGATTACACAGGAGTGATGGTTTTGTTAGCATTTGTATATTGAGAAAATAGATAATGCCAGAATGCTATAAGTAATAACTTGTAATTTATTAATCAGAGCTGAATTTGGAAATGTTGTCAACATACAGAGAAGACCTCTATGCAACTTAGTTTTTAAACATTGCTTGAGCCCATACTGAATCGTGAGCCTCCTGTAATAACTCTGCTCCTGCCTGCCCCAGGCTGGGAACCCGTGATCTAGGATGTAAGGAAAACTGGGAGAGGATCATCCTTGGAGCTGTGATGGGAACTTGGAGTTTTGAGTATCGCTTAAAAAGTGTCTTAGTTCTTTTCAATTCAGTCCTGAAAGTAGCTTGGCGAGGTGGTGAGAATAAGGGGAAAAGGCACAAGACTTGAGTTCACCATTTCACCTACTTATCAGGCTGCCCAACTGGAGTGTGAACATTACAGTTGGGTGGTTTTGAAGGATAAGGTGTAATTTATAAATTAGACAACATAGGTCGTGTTGTGTGTGCATAGTGGACTAATGAAGAATTTCAGAGAGCTGGAAGATGGCAAGTATTTCCTGGCTTCCCATGGTTTTCTCTGTGGCTGTGAACTGGGAGTTTACTATGTTCCAGGCTCTGTATTTCCTAAGCACTTTTCATAAATTATCGCGTTTAGTTTTTATGGGAATTCTACAGAGTAGATATTACTATTTTTGTGGCATGCATGAGAAAACCAAGGCTCTGAGAAGTTAAACTCAGGATCACCAACTAGGAAATGACAGAGATTGGAGCTGGATGCATATTGTACAAATCTGAGCCTTTGGGTTTAGTCAAAAGTTAAAGCCCTTCTCAGTTCTACTCTCTGGAAGAGGCAAATGCTTTTTCTTTTTTTTATGTTGTTAGTGAAAGACAGAACAATTCACCTCTGATCCCCAAACTGTGTGGGGGCATTTTCCCCATGTACCAAGTAATTCTCCATCAAATGCCAACTGGATGTCCTGTAATTCAGTTCATTTCAGTTCAGCTCAGTTCAGTGCTGACACTAATAAGAGAAGTTGAGGGCTCAGTCTGGACGACAGTGATCTTAGCCATTTGAATAACCATTGTATTCTGGAGGGCTTCTGTATATTGTGAACCTTCATATATAATATCTGTGGTCCTTACAATAGTATTTTGAGTATTATTTCATGTTATAGGTAAGAGAATTGAAGCCTATAAAGTTTAGGAAACTCTGGGTGAGCTAGTGAACTCAAATTCACTTGAGACCACAGTTGCTAACCTTTCCAAAAGAAGAGCTAGAGAGAGTAGGAAGAAGGATAGATCTCTTTAAGCGCATTTTCTACAAATGATGCCTTTTGAATAATTTTGTTGCCACCATGGAAAATCTGTGGAAACGAGCCAGCAGGATGCATGGGTACAGCAGTTTAAGGTAAGTAACTAGCTTAAGGTGATTTGAACTCACCTTCAAATCAGTAGGATAGGAACTAGCTGCCCCCACCTCCCCACATCTTTGGCCCCGTGCTCATATCTCCACAGATTGAGTATAGATTGAAGACAGCCACTCCTTCCCAGCCCTATACTGAACCTTGTCATAAAGTGGAACAAACTTTCTTCACGCAAACAGAGCTTCTAATTGACCTTCTACATATTCATATTTTACAATTTATATTTCTTTGAGTTGGGGCTCACCTGTCTTCTACCTAACATATGTACTCAAGGGGAAGTTACCCATCAAGTTTTGTAGATTTTAAAAGCTGAGGGCGGTGGAACATACCTAGCACTTTGGGAGGCTGAGGCAGGAGGATCACAAATTTGAGCCCAGCCTGTGTTACTTCATGACTTAGTGAGATCCTATCTCAAAATAAAAATAAAAACAAGCTGGGGATGCAGCTTGGTGCAAGGACTTTCCATTCTACCTCAGTATAAAATAATAAATCGTACAGATACCATCTTAAATTTCTCTGACTCCTCTGACTTTGAATGACTCCAAGAAAGACCTAGCAGAGCTGCTGATGCCCAGCAGGTAGGAAGCTGCAGCCTGATGAGGAAAACAGGCTGCGGTGAAGAGAGCTTGTCTCGGAGCTTGAGGTACAGCTGTGGCTCATCTATGATTTGGCCAGCCACTTCAGCTACTGGAAACTTTTGCTTTGGAAAAACTATTTAACAGTCTGCATATCCCTTCTTGCTGCAGAGGGAGGTTTTGGTGTTATAGAGCTGGCATATTGTGGGGGTTTGCATCTCTGAGCTCTTTCCCCATTCTTGTGCTTCAACGTTTCCTGATTGTCCTGAAAGTCAAGGAGACCAGCTCTGTTCTCGGTCTGCCTGTGTGGACATGCTTTGCCTGTGTTGCCACGGGGCAAGCTTCTCAGAACACATAGGTAACGTCTGCCCTGCCACGCTGGGGACCTGCACCGGGGCCTGGGGGATTCGGGGTGGGGCGAGGAGGTGCGAGGCACTCTGGGATGTACAGAGGTGGGCCATTTTGGAAAGGGTGAGGGCCAGGGACTTCTGGAGCAGGGTGTTAGGATGTTCTCGCACTCTTCTGCTTACTTTCCCATTCCCAGTTCATCACTCATTTCCCCAGACTGAGATTTGGCCTTTGGAGGGCTCTAGTCATCCTTCCCTATCACGTGCAGCATCATTTCTTGAACAGAAAGGGGCAACAGTGCAGGGAGGGAGTCTTCTGTAATGTGTGTACTTTTTGTTTTTGGTACCGGAAATCAAACTCAGACTTCCCACTTGCCAGGTAGGTGCTGTGCCACTGAGCTATCCCACCTCTGTGCCTCTTTTCTCCTGGGCATCCTTGTAGCAGCTGCCTGAGCCTCCTGCAGCCCTGGATGGGGCTCTGGGGTGTCGGCATCCTGCTCGTCCCCTCTGTTTTCCCTTGACACTGTACTTGGGTTCTGTCTCCCAGAACCAACAGGCCCAGATCATGTTCTCTCTCTAGTTGCCTCTCCAAATTCCAATTTACTGTAGATGCTGGATTTCAGATTACAGATCACACTTTATTTATACTTATCTGTGATTCCATACAAACAGACCAGTGCTAGCGCAGCTCAGGATAGCGTGGCAGAAAGTAGAGATGTGTAGTAGATGGGAACTGGTTTAACTCTTGACTCTACCACTTAATGTGTCTCAAAACAAACTCGTGGTCCCTTCCTGTCTCTACCCCCTACTGCAAACTCTGCTCTCAGGCATCCCTGTCACTATAAAGGTTCACTCCATTCTTCAAATAGCTCAGGTCTCAAACCAACCAGTCGTTTTTTTTTTTTTGTATCCCATGTCCAGTCCATCAGCAGATTTTGACAGCGTTACCTTTGCCATCTCCAAACCCAGCCTTTCCCATGAGTCTCCTCCCTGCAGTTGTCCACGTGCCTGCTACCTTGCACGTACCACATACTTCCTAGGTGACCTTCCCTCTTGACCTGCTAAAGTTTGCACGGCAGCTAGAGTGATCTTTTTATCATATAAGGTAGAGTGCTTCATTCTTCTTTGTAAAACTGCAGAGACTTCGCATCTAATTTGTAATAAAAGCCAAAGTCATTCCCATGGCCTTCAAGGCCCTGCGCCTCCCCTCAGCCCTGACCTCGCTGGCCTCACCGTTGGCTGCTTGACTTTTCTGTGTCTCCTGCTGTCCTCCTCACAGAAGCAGCAGGACATGTGGACTTGCTGCTCCTTCTTCCTAGAATGAATTTCCCCAAAACTGCACCTGGCCAGCTGCCTCATTTCATTTAGGTCTTTGTTCAGAGGTAACCCTTTCAGTGTGAGATCTTTCCTGAATTCCTTGCCTAAAGTCATGATTATTGTTTGCTTCTCATTTTCTTTTTTTGTCTTTTTGGTACTGTTGATTGAACCTAGGAAATGCTAAGCTCACAGCCCGTCTCTGGGTTACACCTCTAGCCCATGCTCTTCATTTATGTTAATCTCTTTGCCTTGTCGTATCTGTTCTAGTGATACTGAACTCTTTGTTTACTGTTTACCTTCTCCCTGGAGAAAGTGAGCTCCCTGGAGAAAGAGAGCCTTTGGTTATTGGTTGTATTAGCTCCCAAAGTCGTGCTAACAATGTACCCAAACCTGGGTGGCTTCAGACAATACAGATTTCTGTTCACAGCTGTGGAGATTAGAGTTCTGATATCAAGGTGTCCCCAGGGCTCCCTCTGATGCCTGGTGGGAGAATCCTTCTTGCCTGTGGAGAAATCTAGCTTGTGGTGGGCATTGGGGTTTCTTGAGTTGTAGGTACATCAAGTCATGGGCTTTCCTCTCTTTTTATGTCTTTATATCTTTGTCCTGCTGTGCATGTTTGTGTCTATGTCCACATTTTTTCCTTTTACAAGGATGCCAGTCATGTTGGATTGGGTTTACCCTAATGCTTCATTTGAATTTTATTATCTCTGTAAAGACTATTTTTTTTTTTTGCTGAGGGTGCAATTCGATTCATGACACTACTGAATCCCCAGCGTTAATTAGACATTGGTGATGGAGGAAGAAGTTGATAACTCCTATAACTTAGCTGAGTGATCATAGACAGATTAGCTAACATTTCTCAGTTTGGCATGTAGCTATTGGTCTAAAAGTGGTAGCCTTTATTGATTTTTTGAACTGGTACAGAGGAAATCTGATAAATGTCTTTTTTTCTAAATCTGAAACTGAATTGAATTGGAATTTGATGAAAGAAGGTATAAAAAGTACCAGACATTTAATATACACTCAGCCTATGGCCAGTTGATTTACTGAGTGAAATATTCACTGCCTTTGGTGATGGAACATAATTCACCTTGACAGGCAAATAAAACACTGTGTTCAAGAAAGGTGTGTGTGAGAAAGGTACTTTGAAGCTGATATTACAAAATGGAACCATTTGAAGTTGTACCTTGTCTCGGGAGAGCCCTTGATCAAGAGGCCAAGAACTGCGTGGGGAGGGAGGAACATGTGTAGGTGTTTGTGTGTCTTTTGCCAAGAAGATGCTGGTCTGTATGTAGGGAGCCTTGGGCGGGAGACCCCAGCTTTGTTCTGTGCAGTTGTTTATCAGCAACTGTGCAAAGATGGCTTACTTAGAGGTAAGTCCAATGATAAGAAGTTGCATCATAAATTCGACCTGAAAAAGTGGTATTGAAATGGACTAAATTATAAAAAGAATCTATAATACAAAAATATAACAAGAATAAATGTCAGGTTCAGGAAATATAGTTTATACAGATGAACTTGGGGTAACATGTCTTAATATGGAGGTTCCCAACCTTTGATATGTATCAGAGCTACTTAAGAGTTCTTTCTTTTCTTTAGGTTTTTTTAAAATCAGTTTCCCTATATAGTATAGACTGGCTTTGAACTCACGATGATCCTCCTATTTCAGCCTCCACAGTGCTGGGATTACAGGCATGCACCACCATTCCTGGCTGCTTGACAGTTTTGAAAGTTTATTTATTTATTTATTTATTGTACCAGAAATTGAACCCAAAACCTTGTGCTTGCCAGGCAGGTGCTTGTGCCACTGAGCTAAACCCCTAGCCCTGAAAGTTTACTTTAAAAATAGAGATGCCAGAACTTTCTCAAGACTTTCTAACGTGGATTGTCTAATGATGGTACTTAGCAAATACTGACCAAAGTTCAGAACCTCTGGGTTAGTAGGAACATGTGTGAAAAAGATTAGGGATTTTTTTAAGGTCGAGGACATATTACTAGAAAGCACATGTATGTTTAGGATATGGCCAACATATTGTTCTGGCTTAGTTTTTTATGAATATAAATGTCACATGGGCAGGGAGTTCCGCCCATTTTATTCATTCATGAGTGCTGAGTGCTATTTCATTCCCTGGCACATAATAGATGTGCAATGAATTATTACTGTGGAGATTTTTATTTGTGAAAGGAAAGGAAAGACCTTTATACACACATAATTGTCAAGTCTAGAAAGCAAAATTTAGAAAAAAATAGATAAAAGAAGTGAGTTACTTTGATTTGAGGAAAATTTGGAAGGGGAATAACGAATAGTCTTGAAACCTTTGTGGGCAGTCTCCTGGAAGAGGAATTAGATGGATTCTATTTGTCTGTCTAAGGTAGGCTTATTTAGGAGCTACACCTGAAGGAGTTTTTCTAATGCATTCAGTGATCTGAAAATACAGTGGATTCTTTTGTTCATCAGGGAGCCTTTTCTTAGAGGCCAGATATCTACCAGTCAATGAATGATGGGGAGACCACTTTGCATTGTACAATTACTGAACGGGGCTATAAGATGAACTAGATCTTAAAGCATCTGTGCTCTGGACCAGCCAAATACTCTATCTAACTTTTTAAATGTGTTCTTATGAAGAAATTGATGGCCCAACCAATGTGGTCACTAATCAAGTGACAGAAGACACAGCAGTAGTCTCCTGGAATCCAGTGAAGGCTGAGATCGACAAATATGTGGTGCGCCACATCTCCCCTGATGGAGACAGCAAAGATACCGCAGTCCCCAAGGACCGAAGCAGCACCACCCTGACTGGCCTGAAGCCGGGAGAGGCGTACGAAGTCTATGTGTGGGCTGAGAGGGGCACCCAGGGAAGCAAGAAAGCTGACGCCAAGGCCCTCACAGGTAATGGGAGAACGGGAGCGTGACAAGTTTCCTCAGGGAAAGGAGAGGGTTGATTCTGAATCTGGAGGTCATTGCATGGACATGAGCGCTTTTGTTGGTAGGAATGGGGGAAATTTGCAAAGACAATTTTTAGTTTCATATTTATGATTATTTTCCTTTTTTCTTCACCTAAAACTGACGAGACCAGACTTTTTATTTGAAACAGAAGGTCGTTCTTGTTTGGGCTGGAATCCCATATGCACCTCTTTTAGAATAGATCAACACTTTCTCATTTTCATTTTTTGAACTTGAAAACTCAAAATAACACACTGAAAGAAAATTTGAATACTTATCTCAGTTTGTAGGGGCTGTGTAGGCACTTTGAATATAATCTGGAACGCTTTTTCAGACTATGGAAATAGTTTCCATCCTCTGAATCAACAGTCACCAAATGTACTGATTTTTGCCTTCACATTTTCACAAACTTAAGGGTCCCCACATTTCCCCCACTCATGCGGCTCAGCTTGTGCCTACAGGTGAGCCTGGCCATTCTTCCTGCTTAAACTTCCCCTGATGCTTCCCTGAATTCAGACCTGTTCTTGGTTCCTCCTTCAGGGTCCAAAACACTAGACAGGAAATCAGAGGGAAAGGATTCATTTATTATCTGGACACTGAATAGACAGAGGCTGTCAGAGAAGCAGGTGCATAGTTAAGAACATAGTTTCCGAAGCTTGCCTGCCCACATTTTATTTTTTTGTATTTATTTTTTTGGTACTGGGATAGAACTCATAACCTCACGCTTGCAGCTGCCTATGTTTTAATTCCATTTCGGCCATTTGCTAGCTGAGTAGCTTCAGGCAAGTTCCTTCAGCTTTGTTCTTCAGGTTCTTAGCTGGGAAGTAGTGCACAAGTGTCCCTGCGTCACAGAGGAGGCTTACCTGAGTTGATTCACATGGCAAGTGCTATATAAGTAATAGCAATAATTATTTCTTAGAATGGCAATCCACGTTTGGTTTTTGTAGTATTTTGTGTTGTGCAGCCTCCTGGGTCCCAGTAGGCTTCAAAGAATTGATCTTTTCTCCAGGCAAGGAGAGAACTTGACAGCAATGAGGCATAGGTTTGTTTAAAATCAGTATCAGCAGGACCGGGGATTTAGCTCAGCAGCATAAGTGCCTGCCTAGCAAGCACCAGGTTGTGAGTTTGATCCTGGGTTAAAAAAAAAAAAAAAATACGATCAGCAAACTTTCTGTAAAGGATTACAGAGTAAACATTTTTTAGCTTTGAAGACCAAACTGGTTTGGTTTCAGCTTCTCTGCCCTGTGCTGAGAAAGCACAAAACTAGCCATAGACAGTAAGTAACATGTAAATGAACTGGGATGACTAGATTCCAATAAAACTTTATTTATAAAGATCTGAAGTTCAGTCTCAACATTCTAGGAGGCTGAGGCAGAGGACTGCAAATTTAAACCCAGCCTAGTAATTTAGTCTAAGTGAAGTTTTATCTCACTTGAATGAATGGTCTGCAGTGATTCAGATTTTGGCTAGTGAACTACAGGCTGCCACCTCCTGGTTTACATTGTACATGACTTTCATTTTATTGGGAGTTTTTTTAGCATTGTGAGAACAGGTGGAGCAGAGTTTCTAAGACAACAGGGCTTGTGTTAAAGAAGAATCTTCCTGCCTTCAGGGGCACCAGCCCTCCATACGACATGGTACTGCTACAGGGGAAGGGTTTGGGTGTGGAGCTGGGCTCAAGATAAGAAACAGAGTTCTTGCCTGTGTCTTTGTAGTGTTCATAATCCTCTAGGTAGAAAAGACTAGTAAAAAGTACACTGAGTTATGTTCCGAAGGAAACAGATGTTTTTGCAGGTATAGTAACCTAAGGGGGAAAAGGGTGGCAACAAAAGCCTGAGGGTCATGGCTGGCAGTGGGAGGAGGGATCCTCTGCCCAGAGCCTGGAAGGACGGCTGGTGTTAACAGAGGAAGCAGTATGTGCAGAGGCCTCAGGTGTGAGAATGTGGCAGGTGAGAGAATGGCAAGTGCTTTTCGGGGTGGACAGATCTGTGAAGTGGTTCACAAGGGAAAGGTGAGGCTGGAGCATTAAAACCAACTCAGAGTCTCAGGAGCTAAGTCTTCTGTGCCTGTGTCACAGGTGTCTGCAGTGCACTCTGAGCTCTGTGATCCTGAAGGACGTTTGTCTCTCTTGGCTGCCTGCTCCACCGAGCTGGCATGCCGTGCCTGGCAAACAATGGAGCACAGGATGGAAGTGTGTTTGCCTTCCCAGGAAGATCAGCTTTCTTAAGGAATTGGTCTTTGAAACAGGGTGATAAAGACATAGCATTTTCTAACTATAGCCTTAATGACTTGGATTATCTTACTCTAAGGATTTATGCTTTGAGAATAAAGTGTCATTATACATGTCAAATGCCATTATACTAACAACTCACACAAACATTTACAATGCTTTATCTCCTTTAGTATTCATCATGGCCTATGAGGTAGGTAGTAATATTTCCTTCTTTATAGAAGTGAAGAAACTGAGACTTAAATTACATAATTTGCCACATGTGGGCAATCAGTAAATGGCAGAAGCCAGGTTCTAACACAATTGAGTCACATAGAAACCTAGGACCCACAAGTTGAATTTATTTTTGTTGGTCCAGATCTCAGATAACATCAACTGAAAACTCTCCTGGATCTCTAGCCACAGACATAATGTTTTATATGGAAAGAACTGACAGCTCCCACTCACAGAGTGTTTTCCTTGGGAGAAATATGAAGTGTGACCAAAACATACAGTGAATGCTTAAATTAGAAACAAAATTATTATAGTAGAAGACCATCACCATTGACCTCCCTCAGTGCCCCCTCCTTCAAACATACTGAGCCCATCATTCCGGCCACTTTCTGAAGCCTCGTAGGAGTCCTCATCCAATGAGGGTCTTCAGTTGCACACTTGTGGCTGTCTCAATGTCCTGAGTTGATTCAAAACATTTACTTTACATGGTCATTTGGGGAAGCACTGGAAGTCACACAGCGCAGATCCAGTGAATGAGGCAGATAAGGACACACTGTCGTGTTCTGTTGGATAAAAGTTTGCCATATCAGAAGTGAAGTGTGATATCAGGTGTGGTGAGGAAGGATGAAACCATCTGTCCATTTCTCAGGCTGCTTTTTTCTTGTATTCTCTAATAATCCCTTATGCTAGTCAGAGTTTACTGTAGTGTCCCCAAGTGGAAACTCAGCTCAAACAGTTCCATCATGGCCAGAAAACACAATCAGCATCACTTACTGTTGGATCTTGATTGCTGTGTGTCTTTTTTGCACAAGAATTTGAATGAATTTCACTCTGAATCTTGGTCTCAGAATCATAATTATAAGACAAGTTTCATTGTCCATGGTGACATTTCTTAAAAAACTGCAATCGGAAGTGGTAGGATGGTGCAAACCCAATTGAAATTGACCCAATTTCATGGTAATGCTTCATGATTCATGATTTATGACATACTTTGAAACACACCTTCTCACAACTACAGCTCACAACTGATTGACTGCACTGAACAAGTTGAAACTTTTCCCACACTAAGGTTTGAAGCTCTGCTTCTCATGTTGAAAGATCCCTATCTTCTGGCTGAATGGTGCTAAACAGTGTTTTCACCACACTTTTTTTTAATCACACTCAGTTAAGTTAGAGCGGATGCAGATATTTATTGAACTGTAATTGTTTTCAGGTCCAAGGAGTTAGGAAGTGAATAAAAGTACCTTACATAATTGCCAGGTAAAGGAGAAATTTGTATGTGAAGATCAGTTCTTTTTATCTAAAAGCAATTTGTGGGAAAAATTTATACCTATATAAACTATAGTTATATATTGGCTTGATCTGATTGGCTTCTGTGTATTGGCTTGATCTGAAAACTGCTTCTCATTAAATGCTAATAGCCTATTCTTAGAATTGCTGATCATTTGTTTAATTACACCCATGATTCATCTCAATCATTGGCATATAACAGAATGAAATTTATTGAGACCATCATTTTGGCTATATCTAGGCTGGTTTTTTAGGAGCTCCAAGGTGGTAAAAGCTACCCTCTTATTTTGTATCTTTCCTAAAGAAATCGATAGCCCAGCAAATTTGGTGACTGATCGGGTAACAGAAAATACACTCACTGTCTCCTGGGATCCAGTGGAGGCTGAAATTGATAAGTATATGGTGCGCTACACCTCTGCCAATGGAGAGACCAGGGAGATTCCAGTGGCTAAGGAGCAGACCAGCACTGACCTGACTGGCCTGAGCCCAGGAGTGGAGTACAAAGTCTATGTGTGGGCCCAGAAGGGGGACCGAGAGAGCAAGAAAGCCAACACTCAGGCCCCCACAGGTAACTAGAGGGACATGATCAATTGGAATTGAAGTTTGAATGTGTAGATTAAAATGTGCATGGTACCAAAGGTTTGGCCAACATGACAGATTCTGTAATTGGAATCTTAAATATGCAAGGCTGGCAGTGAGCTTGAGAACTGTTCTTTGTGGGGTACTCTTCCCTGCTAATGAGACTTATGAAACCACTTGGCCACCAGAAGTGAGAAGTAAAGTTACATAGTAGCAATATTTTTAGCATATACAGCCAAGATACAGGATCTGGTTATTGCAGTGTTTGTGATAATACTTTTAAAGTACCCACCAGTGAATAGCCTTTGATAAAATGATCAATTAGGTAACATGATGTCATGTCGGATGTTTAATGGACAGTCTCAATAAGCCATATACTACTAAGAAGACATTGTTTGTCCCACATTTTAAGGAGCTGAAAGCCAAGAAACGGTATGAAGTGTGTAACAATTCCTCCTTTGAAATTGAGAACCAGAGGCTACTTTTTCCCTTGACTTCTCCTAGAGACCCAGAGTGGGAATCTCTTGGCTTTGTGCTGAGAACTCTAGAAGATGAAAATCAGGATGGCAGGGTGGTAGATATGTCTTCCATAGCTTTTGAGCTAAGGCTTTTCCCAACATATTTCTTTCAGATATTGACAGTCCTAAAAATCTGGTGACTGACCAGGTGACAGAGAATATGGTCACTGTCTCCTGGGACCCAGTGCAGGCTCCTATTGATAGGTATATGGTGAGCTACACTTCTGCTGATGGAGAGACCAAGGAGGTTCCAGTAGGGAAGGAACAGAGGAGCACCATCCTGAAAGGTCTGAAGCCAGGCACGGAGTACAAATTTCATGTGTGGGCACAGAAGGGGACCCAGGAGAGCAGAAAGGCTGATGCGCAGGCCCCTACAGGTAATGGAGTGTGTGGGATCCTTGTATCATTGCTAAACTCACTGTCTTTAGGTTGTTTTTCCTTTTCTTTGATCTTGTCAGACAGGGAGGTTTTGTAAATTAAAGGTTGGTATCTCTCCATAGTAAATTATGTACCTCTCACTTCCTTTATGTCTTAGAATATGTTTCATACTGTGGTCTCTAAATCCTGGTCTCTAAAGATTGATGGGTATTGCTCTTGATCTCTTGTTTTTCTTTGCCTCTTTGCTATGGTAAAGAATAAATGTAAAGAAAGCATCAGCAGCTGTCATGCTGAGAAATCCAGATTTGAGAATTATGATCTGAAACCAACTTTTATGTTTCCAAAACCAACTTTTTAAGCTTCCACCTGTTTAAATCCTTTTTATGATGTTTTTGCCTTTTGGATGAAAATTTAGGCCAACATTATTACAGTGCTTTTTTTTTTTTTTTGCTAAAAACAAGCAAATGTAGGTCTCGAATGTTACTTCTTTTTAACGTCCACTCCCATGTAATAGTCCACCCTTCACTGACCGTTGACCATTTGCCTGCTAACGGCCTGCAGTGAGAGGAGGAATGGCTTAGCTTCTTTTGTCTTTTCCCAGCTTGTACTCAAACACTAATCTTCCCAGTTTGCTAAGTACAAGTTCGGACCCATTTGTGTTTGGCACAGTTGGGAGATTAAGCTGAGGAGAAGTCAGAGGTCGTAGGAACAGGGATGAACATGAGGAGAGGGAAGTAGAAGAGGGGGAGGAGGAGGAAGAGGAGAAGCCAGGGGTCAAGAGGAAGGGGGCTGAGGGGTTATATGAGTCAGTTTTCCTGTTGCTGGGGCAAGCTACCTGACACGTGCAGCGCAAAGGAAGAGAAGTTTATTTTGGCTCACAGATTTGGACATTCCAGTCCATTAAACGGCTGGGTGAGAGGCAGAAATAGGGGAGGGTAAAGCTGCTCACCCTTCAGCCAGGATGCCGGGGTGGAGGTCAGGAAGGGCCAGGTAAAGCATACACCTTTGCATGTCACTCCCCTAGTGACCCATCCATTCTGACCAGGCCTTACCTCTGAGCTCAAGACTTTTGGGGGATCATTTTGTATGTAAATCATAACATTCCACGCTGGCTCCCAAAAGTTCATGTCCCTCTCATTATGTAAAATACGTTTTACTCCATCTTTAAAAGTTAACAAAGTCTTAACAGTTTCAGCGTTGCTGACAAGTCTGTCTTCTCTGACACTCAAGGCAAACTCTTAGCTATGAGTAACAGTAAGAAATGAAAAAGAAAGTTAAACCCTTCCAATGCACAGTTGCACAGGGTAAGCACTGCCATTCCAAAGACAAGGAGTAGGGGAATAAAGTGATACCAAATCAAAGCAAGAATGAAAGCCGGCAGGGCATGCATTAAGTCCCACAACTCCATGGGAGGAACCTGGAGCAGTTGTGGTGAGGTGTTTTCCAAGGGGTTTGAGTAACCCTGTCCTAAGGCCTTGCTGATTGCAGCCCCCATGGCCTCTCTCTCACTACGTGTGGCTTTCCTCAGCAGATAATTCGTGTTCCTGGAATTTTCAACATCTTACAGTTTCCATTGCACCTTGAGCTTCACTCTCATAGCTTCACACCTTGCTTCTTGGGCACACTGGGTAGCCTCTCAAACCTTCCTCTGCCTGGAAGCTTCCGTGACCCACCATTCTTGCATTCTACATGCCTGAAAAGCCAGAAGCACATGGATGATGCCAAAGTCTGCTGTCAGATCAAGAAGGAACCTGGCCTCCTTTGACACAGCAGCCTCTGAATGTGTAGATAGCAGGATTTAGAGCTACATTTCTCTAGGTAACCCTGAATGAGCAGAGCATCCTGGGGCTTTTGTCTCAAAGCAAGATATTTCAAAGGACCTTATTCCCTTAAGCTTTTGAAGGATAATGTCTGATCAGTTATGGGGATGTCTTTAAGTCATTTTTGCTACTGTCCTGATAGAAAGTACTTGGCTTCTTTTTAATGTGAATGTTTTTAGCAACCATGATATCCTTGACCTAGACTTTGCAGGTGTTTTTTTTTTTCCTGATGAAACTGCAAAATTTTCAAATCATTCACCTCTGCTTTTTGTTTGAATCTCACTGTAAATCTGGCTAAAAAACCCAGCTGTACCTGTGCCATAGTCTGAATGTTGGGCTGCCTTGACATTTTCTCTGCTTGATCATTTACCACTCCCCTTAATTTCAGTGTCCTGCAAAGTGTCATGACATGGGCAAAATTAAGACCCAAGGCCTCTAGTTCAGTTGCCAATCAAATTCTTATTTCCTACTGAAATCTTTTGATCCGAGCATTTATTGTATACATTCCTACCAGCATTTTGGCCTTCTGAGTCTGCCCAGAATCACCCATTAGGCTCTGCTTTCATCATCCTAGGACTTCTTTAGTCTTCATCTGCAAAGCTTACCAAACTCCTACAAAGTCCTGAAGGCTTGTAAGCCACCCGATGAGGTACAGTCCACAGCACTGATCTGACTCCTGGTACCAGTTTTCTGGATTAGCCACTTTCCCATCACTGGGAAATACACGACACCCACAATTTAAAGGAGAGGTTTATTTTGCCTCACAGTTTCACAGGTTTCATTCAGTTCATCGTCATCTGCTCTGAAGCAGAAGCAGCATGATGGAAGTGAGCTGCTTACCAGGAAGGAGAAAGAGAAGAGGAAGAGAGAGAAAGTGTGGGGGGGGGGATAAAAGGAAGAAGAAGAGAAGAATGAGAGAGAAGGAGAAGGAGGAAGAAGGGGAAAGAAGGGAGCCAAGAACCTCAGGACAGGAATATATCTTTCTAGGCTCTTCTGACCAGGCACCACCTCGAACACATGAGGTTTGGGGAGCCATTTTAGATTAGACCATCGCAGGGTTTCTGAGGGAAGAGAGGCCAAGTTTTGTGGAAGATCACAGAAGCCAAATAATAATCATGGCTGCTGTGGGCCTTTTGTGGGACTGTAAGTTTTAAAGCTAACTCTCCCGTGGAGTACCTTTGTGCATGTCTTTTTCTGGAGGGTCTGTCACTAATGATACTATGGACAATGGCTTGTCTCCTCAGATCTCTTGCTCCACTTCTTCCACACATACACAAGGAGAGCATCTACCCCAGCATCTCTGATGGAGTCATCTTGCTCCTCTAGGTGGCCCCCTAGGACAGTTTCTAGCACAAGCCAGGCAGGCCTCTGCTTTGCCCAGGTCTGGCCCCCTGGGAATCACACGTGTCCTTTATTTATTCAGCTGGATGTACAGGTCTTTTGAGTGCTCCAGCCTCTTTTCCTGCATCAGAGCAGCCAGCAGTTCTCTCACTATTGATATTTTAGGGATGTATCACCCTAAAATGGACACTAGCTCATGGTGTTCCCCATGCTTTTGGAAGGAATTTCAACTTTGGCACTATTGATATTTTTAGGTGGATAATTGTCTGTTGTACGGATTTTTATTCTGCATTGTAGCATATTTAGCAGTATCCCTGGTACCTGCATATTAGATGCCAGTAATCACCTCATCTTACACTGAGTTTTGACAATCGGAAGTGTCTTCAGACAATGCTAATCATACTTACTGAGATCTTTTGCTCTAGAGACTGATAGTCTCTAAAAAAGAACTCATTGAAGCTGTGTTTAAGGCGTGGCTGCCACTTGTGGGACCAATTATACAGCTCTTTCCAGATAACTCCTGAGGCCTACCTTACTGGCCTCTCCAGCCTCTTTTGTGGGCCAAAGATAGTTGGTCAGTCAAGGGTTATGAGACTGTTGATCCTGCCTTGGTTGGAACCCTCAGGTTGGAATTGGATATCTGTTTTCTTGAAGTCACAGCCTAAATCAATATATGCAATAGGGCATATGAGCATTTAGGAAAACGGATTTTGCAGTGAACTATTTAGAAAAAAAGGATGGTATTATTTTCTTGGTAAAATACATTTTTGAGCACCTTCCTTGTGTGTGGTGTGCAGGGACCCAATACCTTGCATTTACAAAATGTTGACAAAATGATATTACTAATAATGATAGTTCATAGTCATTGGTCAGTGCTAAGAGCAATCACAAGAGACACAATATTAGCTCACATAGTACAGGAACTCTACAAGACATGAAGAAATAATATCAGATTCCACATCCTTTGTCTTTTTTTTCCTGTGGAGGAAATTGATGCAAAGAGGCTAATTTACCCTTGATTACATTTTGAATTATAGAGTGAATGTTCCATGGCTTCAGAACAGGGAATGCTGCAATACTTTAACATTTTCAAAGCCCTTTTTTCTGTGTACCATTTTAAAATCTTGATTTCCAGAGCTAACTAGAGAGCTATGTACAATAACTATTAAACATTCTATTTTACAAATATAGAAGTAAATTGAAACAATTTGCCTAAGGTCATAAAACAAGTTAGTAATTTATGAAAGTAGATACATGCTTGGAATGTTAGTATAGAATCAAACTAAAGGTCCATCCAAGTGCAGATTTTAGAAAGGAAGAAACTGAGACACAGGCAGAGGCAGCCAAATTGCCCAAGGCTACAACTGGTTGGTGGCAGAGCTGGGACAAGACCCTTGGTCTGCTGACTGCAGCTCAGGGGGTTTCCTGTCCCCAAGGTCTCTCTCTTGGCCTAGACCTAGAAGCCAGCTGCCCCAGCCATGGCTGTGCTACTCACACCATTGTCCTATGCTGCTTTCTTGGGATCCAAGAACCTAGCTGGGGAGATAGGCTCTGTATCCATGAAGCAACTAAAACCCAGATATGAGATGAGATGATTTCAAGTACAGTTGAAGTAAAATGGTGTTACCTCTGTTGATAGTTAGTGTTGATCAACAATTTTCTTTTTAGACATTGACAGCCCCAAAAACCTGGTGACTGACCAGGTGACAGAGAACACTGCCACTGTCTCTTGGAAGCCAGTAAAGGCTGACATTGACAGGTATGTGGTGCGTTACACCTCCGCGGATGGAGAGACCAGGGAGGTTCCGGTGAGGAAGGACCGGAACAGGACCATCCTGACAGGCCTGAAGCCAGGTGTGGAGTACGAGGTCGATGTGTGGGCCCAGAAGGGGGCCCGGGAGAGCAGGAAAGCCAACACCAAAGCCCCCACAGGTAATGGGCATTGTTCTTTGGGAATGCGACATCTTTTATGCTAATCTTATAGGCGCCCAAGTTTGTGTAGGAATTAATGGTTATTCAAGACCAGGTGGTAGACCTCAATACCCTTTAACACGTTATCCCAAAATGTGGGCTTTGTACATGTCTTACAACAATTATCAGTGACCTATTCACTGATCCTCCAATTATGTGTTTCCTTTGTGGCCAGTCTCAAAATATTTCTTTTTAAGGGAATGTATGTAAAGAAAACACATATGGTACATAGATCTGTGACCTGAATACTTTAGGGAAATAGCTTTTTCTCTCATCTCTGTGGAAACAGATGGAGTGATTGCTGTCTGAAGGAGTGAGTCCTCTTTTGAGTTCTGTGGATTTCTCTCTGGAGGTCCTGTGCGTACACTGATATTTGATAACAGCTCACAGTTTTAAAGCTTTTTCATTTCTATTTCTCAGCTGTTGAAAACAACCTTATGGTGTGTTTACACACTTAAAATTCACCCTCTTTAAATATAAAATTCAGTGTATAATCATCTAGTTCTATAACTATTATCACGGTAAATTTCAGAGCATTCCCATCACCCAGAGGAATCTCATACCCATAACTAGTCATTTTTCATCTGTGCTCCCACCAGCCTTTGTGACAGCTGCTATTTGGCTATAGAGTTCTCTATTCAGGACATTTTATATGTGTGAGTTTATACAATATGTGAACTTTTGTGACTGTCTTTTTTTCATGAAGCGTAATATTCTTTAAGTTCATCCATGTTTTCTATAGATAAGTATTTGATTTTATTGGAATTAATATTTCATTGTATGGATATATACATTTTGTCTATCCATTCCACAGTTATTGGACATTCGAACTGTTTCTGGTTTTTGGCTATTGTTAATAAAGATATTATGAGAAGCTGTATATAAGCTTTTTATGTGCACATTCACCTTCATTTCTCATCAGTATATGCCTATGAGTGGAATTATTAGATCATTTAGAAATTCAATCTTTAATTTTTGAAGCACTAACAGTTTTAAAGTGATTGTATTACTTTACACTTCCACCAGAAATGAATGAGATTTATCATCTTCATTTACTTGGTCTTCAGGAGAATTTGTTGAATTGGTGGAACAAGAATGTATATCACCATTTTTTTGCATTTGAAAATCCTCAAATATGGTGATGTGCATGATTTGCCAAGATTGCATAGTTAGCCGATGACTAATGGATATTGATCCATGAAATATTGTGGCATATTACATTTCATTTAGTCTAAGGCTCACATACACAGATGGGAAAACTGAGGTTTGGTCAGAGCCAGCCAAGTTGTCTGAGGCCACAGCTGGCTGGTGGCAGAGTTGGGGTGAGATCTCTGGTCTGCTGCCTGTAGCCCCTCTGGCCTGGGCTTAGAACTCAGCCTAACTGTGGATGTGATGCTCAACCAGGATGTGATCCTGCTCTGCCTCCTGGAGGATCTAAGAGTCTGCTTTGAAGACAAGGTCTGTGCCTATGAAGCAACTGAAAACCAAGAAATGAGAAGCAAGAACTATAAATGCAGGAAACTGTCTCAGTGATAGCCAAACAGCTTCTCTCTTGGAGCCTGTTAATAGTATTTATTGATCAGTACTTTTTCTTTTAGACATTGACAGCCCCAAAAACCTGGTGACTGACCAGGTGACAGAGAACACTGCCACTGTCTCGTGGGACCCAGTGGAGGCTGACATTGACAGGTATGTGGTGCGCTACACCTCTGCCGACGGAGAGACCAGGGAATTTCTGGTGGGGAAGGACCAGAGCAGCACCATCCTGACAGGCCTGAGGCCAGGTGTGGAGTACGAGGTCGATGTGTGGGCCCAGAAGGGGACCCGGGAGAGCAGGAAGGTCAACTCCAAGGCCCCCACAGGTAATGGGCATTGTTCTTCGGGAATGTAACAACTATCTTGTTAAGTCTGTGGAAGACTGAGTTTGGTACTCTTTTTCTGAGATTGGCAGAAATCAGTGATTAGTAGAAGACCAGGATAGGAAACCTCTGTCATACTTTTCACATTATCCCCTTAATATATAAGAAGGCCAGAGGCTGGGGATTTAGCTCAGCGGCATAAGAACCTGCCTTGCAAGCAGGTGGTCATGAGTTCGATCCTCAGTACCGATTTAAAAAAAAAAAAAAAAAAATATATATATATATATATATATATATAATAAGGCCTCACTCTTTAATCTCCTGTGATTGCGGTGATTGGTCAGACTAACCCAGCATTTCTCTAATTTTGTTTCCCTTTTGGTCAGTCTCAAAATATTTTCCTTTAAACAGAAAAGGTTTCATGTTGGGATCTGGGAACTGTGTACTTTAGGGAGATGTCTTTTACTGTGATCTATTAGGAACAAAAAAGAGGCTGTTGCTTTCTTTGTGAATAATCGTCTTCTGAGTATTATGTGTTTACTCTAAGAATCCCATGGTTGCCATGATATACAGTAACAATCTACAGTGTTGAAGGTTTTCATTTGTCTTCCTTCCTTTGTTAGGATCAGCTTATTAAGATGTATCTGTAAACTATAAATCCATCCTTTTAAAGTTTGCAATTGATTGGTTTTAGTATAGTCACAGAGGAGTACAGATCCATTACCAATCACTTCCAGCCCTAAGGAACTACTGCTGTTTGTCTCTATAGATTTCCTTGTTTGGGACATTTAACACATAGAGATATATAGGTGCCTTTGTGACTGACTTCTTTTCAAAAACCATAATATATTCCAGGTCATCCATGTTGAAGCTGATATCAATACTTAATTTTATTGTAAATTAACATTCCATTGTATGGACAGACCACATTTTCCTATCAATTCATCAATAATTGCACTATTTATTTGGTTGCTACTGAGAATGATGATGCTAGGGCTTTGTATGTTTTGTTTTTCTGCATGGAGGATTGAACCCAGTAGCTGGCACATGCCAGACAGCTCTACCACAAAGCTATACTTTCATCCCTACCATGTACAAGTTTTTGGATGCATATACATCTTCCTTTCTCTAAGATGTATGCCTAAAAATAGTTCCTGTTTCATTTGTTATTTATCTTTAACTTTGGAGGAACTGCCAGAATGTTTCCACTGTGGTTATACCATTTTACATGCCTGCCAGCAATGACTGAAAATTGTTTTCTTCAGGATACTTGGTCCCCAGATAAATTTGTTGAATCAGTAGAGCAGGAACCAGTAACCCTATTTTGCAGTAGAGAATCTTCAAATACAGTTAAGTTATGATTTCTACAAATTACTAACCTAGGTATGATTCTTGGGGTTTGAGTTACAAAATAGCCATGGAATATTCTGGTGCTTTAACATGTATTTCATGTAAGGCTCCATTTGCAGATACAGGAGCTGAGGCGCAGTCAGACGTACAAGTTATTTAAGGCTACAGCCTGCTCATGGCAGAGTTAGGATAAGATCTACAGTCTGCTGGTCATACCCCAAGGGGCGTCCTGCCTCTGCTCTGCCTCTTGGTTGGGCCTAGGACTCAGTTCCTCTGACTGTGGATCTGATTCTCATCCGGGATGTGGTCCTGGGTTGGCTTCTTGAAAATCCAAGAGCCCAGCTAGAGAGACAAAGTCTGTTTCCATGAAACTACAAAAAAACCAAACTTTGAAATGAGAAAACTACAATTACAAGAAAATGCCTCAGCTCAAGCAAAATGGTCTTACTCTTTGGTGCCTGTTGGTGGTTTGTATTGATCAATACTTTTTCTTTTAGATATTGACAGCCCCAAAAATCTGGTAACTGACCAGGTGACTGAGAACACTGCCACTGTCTCGTGGGACCCTGTGGAAGCCGATATTGATCAGTATGTGGTGCGGTACATCTCTGCTGATGGAGATACCAGGGAGATTCCGGTGGGGAAAGAGCACCGTAGCACCCTCCTGACAGGCCTGAGGCCAGGTGTGGAGTACAGGGTGGATGTGTGGGCCCAGAAGGGGACTCAGGAGAGCAGGAAGGTCACCACCAAGGCCCCCACAGGTAATGGACGTTGTGTTTCGGAAATGTAACATCTGTCATGCTACGTATACAGTAAACCTTTGTCATACTACTTACACCATCCCTTAGTACCTTAAATATGAAATAAGGATATCAGCCTTGCTCTTTATAGTCTCCTAAGATTAATGGTGATTGATCACTCACCCAGTGTCTCTTCAATTTTGTATTTCCTTTGTGTTCAGTCTCAAAATATTTCTTTTTTTTAAAAAAAATTTTATTTTAAAGAGAATAAAACAAAAGAAGACAGAACAAAGCAGATAGAACAGAACAATGTAAGTAATACTGCACTTCCAACAAGACAACTCGATATTAACAGTAGCTACCATAAAGTCTCTTTCTTTGAAATAGTTGAGCATACTTTCACATACCATTGTATCACATATAACAAAATGTATAAAACCATTCAAGAGAATGAAAGTATTACAGGGCATTCAGAACCAAATAACAGAAAATGAACAATGGCTATATCTCATTTTCCATAAAAAATTTGTTTATACTATCACACATATTAAAATCCAATAAAATACAACATGATAGAACCAATGGAAATAGAGGAACAAAAGCATGGTAGGACTTCAAAGCAAGATGATATTAAATCAGCAATGGCTGCCAATAATGTCTTGTTTTCTTCAAAGTAGCTGTTCATACTATCACACGTAATAAAATACAACAAAACAGAATAAAACCATTCCAACTAATGAATGAAAACATTATAAGGCTTCAAAAGCAATGTAATGGGGAATCATAGAAGAGGATTTTTTTTTTTTTTTTTTTGGTATCAGGATCAAACTCATGACCTCGCACTTGCCAGGCAGGCACTTATGCTGCTGAGCTAAATCCCCAGCCCTGGAAGAGGATATGAAGGAACCATATTCATGTTGGGATTTCTAAAGTATAATACACTTCTTTAGGGAAATATCTTTTACTGTGATCTGTTTGGAACAGAGAGGATTGTTGCTTTATTAGTGAATACTCCCTTTTGAATACTGTATGTTTTGCTCTGAGGATTCTGTGGTTGTAGCATATAGAGTAAAGATTTATGCTAAAGCTTTTCATTTTTCCTTTCTCCTTTGTTGAGAACAGCCTTATCTGTATGTTATTTACATATATCTTAATAATCCACCCTTTAAAAGTTTATATCAGCAGGCATAGCATAGCATAGCATAGCATAGCACAGCATAGCACAGCATAGCATAGCATAGCATAGCATAGCGGGGTACAACTATTACCATTATTCAATTCAGGACATTTTATCACCAGGAGAAACATCATGTTCAATACCAGTCACTCTTCGTCTCTTTTCCTTCCAGCTTTAGGTAACAGCAGCTGTCTGTCTCTATAGATTTTCCTGTTCTGAACATTTAAGATTCATACAATATATAATACAATAATATTGTATTAATTACACATTTTAATATTTCCAGGTTCATCCATGCTGTAACTTACAACAGACTTAATTTTATTGTAAATTAATAATCTGTTGTATGGATGCGCCACATTTTATCAGCTGTTGGACATTTGAGTTGTTTCTATGGTTTTGCTATTGTTAGAAATTAGGCTTTGAACATTTTGTACCAGTTTTTGTGTGGACATACATACTTAATGAGAGGAATTGCTAGATCATATGATGGTTCAATCTTTAATATTTGAGGAATTGTGAGAATGTTTTCATTCTTGTTAATGCCATTTTACATACCTCCCATTGACTCAGTAGAGCAGGAATCAGTATTCCTATTTTGCAACTGAGAATGCTTAATACAGTGAGGTGCATGATTTCTACTGGATCCATGAAATAGTCAGGGAATATTAGGGAGTCTTAACATCTACCTAAGTTTAAGGCCTACATTTTTGGATGGCAAAACTAAGGTACAGTGAGAGGCAGCTGAGTTGTTTAGGATAAGATCTTTGGTCTGCTTGCTACAAACTGGGGGGCTTCTTGCTCCCGAGATCTGCTCCTTGGCCTGAACCTAGAACTCAGCCCTTCTGACTGTGGATATGATGCTCACCCAGGATATGGTCCTATGCTTCCTCTGTGAACATCCAGGAATCCACTGTGCAGACAAGGTCTCTGTCTATGAAACAGATAAAAACCAACATATAAGATGTAAAAAACTATCTTATGTCAAGCTTAATGTCTCACTGTTTGGTAGCCATTGGTAGTTTTTATTGATCAGCACTTTTTCTTTTAGACATTGACAGCCCCAAAAACCTGGTGACTGACCAGGTGACCGAGAACACTGCCACTGTATCCTGGGATCCAGTGGAGGCTGATATTGATAGGTATGTGGTGCGCTACACCTCTGCTGATGGAGAAACCAAGGAATTTCTGGTGGGGAAGGAACACAAGAGCACCGTCCTGACAGACCTGAGGCCAGGTGTGGAGTACAAGGTGGACGTGTGGGCCCAGAAGGGAGCCCGGGAGAGCAAGAAGGCCAATACGGAGGCCCCCACAGGTAACGGATGTTGTTCTTTGGACTGTAACACCTGTCATGCTAAGCCTGAAGGAAGTCAAATTCTGTTTTCCGCCTGTGACATAGGCAACATCTATGGTATATATACCAGCAGGATAGTGTTCCTTCAGTATCAATTATGCATACCATTCCTCACTTCCATTTATCTAATTTCTGGAGTATATAATCAGTTCTTCATATACTCTACAAACTCTTTTTGGATAGCTTTCTTTATCAAAACCTCTTTTAAGTATATGAATCTTTTGCTGGAGACAATATTGATGATCTAGAAGTGAGTTTGTGAATGGAAGCAGAAGCTGAAAAATACTATTATTATTATTTTGGTACTAAGGATTGAACTCACGACTGCACGCTTGCAAGGCAGGTGCTTATGCCATGAAAAATATTATTAGTAATGATGTATGAGTGATTTGACTTTAAAAATATAGATTTGGTATCTATAGCTAGTAGGTATGTGGTTTGCTGTAGTATGGATTAATCATAATTTATAAAATTTGCTTTCACCTATAAATAATAATAACTCTATGGATAATATGGACATATTTGTATATTGAATGGGGGTATGGATGTTTCTTAGATTGTACAGGGTAAGTCGTAATTGACGGAAACACCTAATAGCAGTTAGTTAAGCAAGACAGATGTTTGTTTATTCTTCTCAGTAGAGTGGCAAAGTACAAATGATCCAGAGTTTTGAGGATCAGGATAATGTTTGTGCTACATTCATACCTTATTATTGTGAGAGAGATATGTGGCTGGATCTTGTGCATTTTTAAAATCAGCTTTGAAAGCTGCACCCTGCCTAGAACATGCCTTGTACTGGATGAGGGCTCTGTGCAGCCTACTAAATGACGAGAGAGATTTGGTTTGTTAAAATTTTGGTAGAGGTAATAGCCCAGTTCTTCAGACTCTGCTTGATTGTGCTTTCTACTCGAGGAGACACGTATGTCTGGGGAGAGAAGATGTACATCCATGAAACAGCTAAAAAATGAGAAAAGAGCACAGGAAGTGGAAAACCCACGAAACATGAGGGGCCTCATCCTGGGCAACCTGGCTACCAGTTTCTGTACCCTGGGCCTGCCCATAGCAATGTTAATCAGTCCTTTTCCTTTTAGAAATTGATAGCCCGAAAAACCTGGTAACCAACCAGGTGACAGAGAATACAGCCACTATCTCCTGGGACCCGGTGCAGGCCAACATTGACAGGTATGTGGTGCGCTACACCTCTGCTGATGGAGAGATCAGGGAGATTCCAGTGAAGAAGGAGAAGACCAGCACTGTCCTGACCGGCCTGAGGCCCGGTGTTGACTACACGGTCCAAGTGTGGGCCCAGAAGGGCAACCGGCAGAGCAAGAAGGCCAAAACCAAGGCCCCCACAGGTACTGGATATTGGGAATGTAATGTTGTTTGAGAATGTAACATCTGCCATGTTAAATCTTTGGGAGGTCAAGTTTTGTTTTTCTTTTCTTACCTTATCATGTAGTAGGAGGGAGGAGAAAAGCAGGCTGGAGTAATTAATGCTGCTAAGTGATGAATGCTGCTTATGGGAATCTGTGATCTCAGGCCCTGTGGACTGCTTTAGGAGAGTGCCTTAGTCCATTTTATCCTGTAACTGAATACCACAGCTGGTGCAAATGATGAACAACACAAGTTCATCTGCTCACAGTTCTGCAGGCTGAGTTCAAGGGCATGGTGCTAGCTTCTGGTGAGGGCCTCTATGCTACTTATGACATGGCAGAAGGGCAAGTGAAGGCAGGTGAGATAGAGCGAGAGGGCAAGATGGTGCTGGAGTTAAACCTACTCCACCGTAGTAGCCCACTCCTGTGACAGTAACATTAATCCATCAAAGACAGCAGAGCCCTGATGGCGCAGTCACCTCTCAGAGACTCCACTTCTGATTACCGTCTCAGTGGCAATTAAATTTCATCATGGGTCTCGGAGCAAACCATAGCTGACAGTTTGCTGTAAAACAACAACAACAACAAAAAAGAACAAAGCATAGCATTAGATCCTGAGTAGGATTGCTGAGCTGTCCTACTAGTCTTTAAATGCTTTCTTAAACTTTGTGCCTTTCAGCAGTAGAAAATTATACTAAATAATGTGAAACCTATGTAAAACTCCTTAAAACTAAAGATTGGAGAACTGTTTTGTGGCAGGTGATTTTACAAGGCCTTGACTTAATAAATACTGAATGGTATAAACTTTCAAATGACCAGTGAAACTGGACCCCAGTGCTCAACATGCAGCTAACTTTTAATGAACATCTGCTACGTAGCATCAGTAAGCAAAACAAATGTGATCTGTTGAACTCCAGTAGAGAGCTGCAAGAGAACAAATTTGTAACTATCAGTTATGGTAAGTTCTATGAGGGAGATGATGGCAGTGTAGGAATAGAGAATAACAGGTAAGAATGGTTCTTAAATGGGGTGAATAGTAATAGGATACACATTAAAAGAGATACCCAAATGATAGTTGTTTAAGTGATGAATGAATTTATTTACCCCCATAGAATGGCAGAGGATAAGTGAGCCAGGGTCGATAGGGCAGCTCCTCTGTACAAGAGAACCAGCCTTCTTGTCTTTTTTTTTTTTTTTCTTTTTGGCTCAAGCATCCTTAGGGAGTGGACTTCATTTACATGGTAACACCCTGTATGCATTCTCACCGATGGGCAGGGGCGTGGGAAAGGACAAGGCATAACTGGAGTATTGCACACATCCATTCTCACACTTTGTTGTCTAAGAAAAGACGTAGTGCCAGATCTCAGTGCAAAGTGGCTGGAAATGAGGTCTTCAGCTGGATGACTCATGAGTCCAGGTTTGACTTCTGTTTCACTGTAAAATGAAATTAAATAGCTACCTGTAGCAATTAATTAAATTTTAATTAATTAAAATCGTTAAAATAAAAAAGTATTTCTTCAGTTGAACCAGCCACATTTGAGATGGTCAGTAGCCACCTGTGACTAATGGCCACCACGTTGGACAGTGTAGATTACAGAGTATTTGTGGCACTGCAGAGAGATTACTAGGCAGTGTGCTTATAGAAGAAGGGGAGGATGACTACCGGGGAAGGTAGGCATTCTTGGCACAGGTAAGAACACTTGTGATGGTCCAAAGTAGGAACAGACATGAGATAGTTGGGGAACTGCAAGGCTGATGTCATTGGAGCATAGAAGATGAGGGAGCTAGTGTCCCGGCACAAGGTGGAAGGACCAGGGTCAGATCATATAGAAGCACATGACGCTTAAAAGAGGAAGTGTGCTACATTTATTAGAAGAAAAAAGACATGAAGTAGTCATTTAAAACTATTTTTCAAATCAGAGTAAGGGGAATAAATGAAAGTGACTAAAGGGTAGAAGTGGGAAGATTAGTAAAGGAGCTAGTATAAAAGTCTTGGTGAGGGGTAATGATCTGAGCAAGCATGATGGTGTAGGGAGAGAGAAGAGAGGACGTCTGGGGACGTATTTTAGAGGTATAAATGATAGCAACTGTGGACTTGAGTCCCCACTTCTTTGTACCCATAGCTCACAAGTATGATTTGAGCACAATGAAAAATTATGTACCATTTTTTGAGAAGGGAGACTGTGGATGATGTCACAACTTTTATAAATTTAAGTTTGAGATACTCGTTAGATTCCTCGGTTAGTTGAGTGATTTGTTTATTAGTTCCACATGTACTTAGTGAGTATCTAATATAGGCCAGGCACTGTGAATGGATATGCGGTAGTAGCTACAAGCCTGGAGCTCAGAACTGATGTTCTTACGGAACAATGAGTGTCTAGTTATAAGTTCAAGCTGTGGACATTGGTGGTGGTGGTGGCGGGGAGAATTATCCAAGGAGAAATGTAGAGACATAGGAAAACAGGGAGCTTTGGGCACGGTTTAGGTTGCTAACAAAGGAGTGAGGGGTCGGCAGAGGAGTAAGTGAGTTAGGAGGAAACCAAGCAAGTGTGTAGACCTGAAGGAGGAAGTGCATTAACTCTGCTGGGTACCACTCAAATTTGAGCCAAGTGCGCATGCCTGGTGCCCACTAGAAAGATGTCTGTCTAGAGCACTGGTGACCTAGAGTAGCAGATTTAGTGGTGAGAGACAGAAACAAGACTGAGTTGAGGAGTGAGCGGGAGGTGAGTGAGGCTGAGCTAGGCAGACCCTTCCCTTGGCTTTGTCAGTGCAGGGAGGGATGGCGTCCTAGAGCCGGCTTGTCTGTGACTGATGGCAGAGAAGACTCTGATGGTGCAGGAGGGAGGGGGCCCATGAAATGGGGCAAAGTCCTTGAGAGGCCACAAAATTCAGAGCACAGAGGGTCTATCTCACACTGAACACAAGAAAGCAACAAGAATTTGGGCCTGCATTCTCCCGTGCTTTTATAAATCAAATGGAAGAGAAGCTGTTACTTTGCTCTCAAATTCATTTAAACAACTGCCAGTAGATACCAGAGAGGTTACAAAAAAGGTTGTTTCAACTGCAGTTTCAGTAACTTATTCTATTGCTAAGGTTTTTATGGTTGAGCGAGAACTACACAGTCAAAAAAATTTCCAAATTGATAAACTTAGAGAAGATATGATTCCTTCCAGTTTTAATATCCACTGGTTTGTTTCCCTGGAAAATGGAACCAGGGGGCCTCTTACCCCGCTTTAAATGGAATTACACCATGATTATTGATAATCATATCAGAGAGCTCCCTAAAATTCAGCCTTTTCTCTTTTGAAAAAAGAAATTGACAGCCCCAAAAACCTGGTGACCAATCGGGTGACAGAGACTACAGCTACCATCTCCTGGGACCCGGTGAGAGCTGCCATAGACAAGTACGTGGTGCGTTATACGTCTGCGGATGGAAAGACCAAGGAGATTCCAGTGCCAAAGGAGCAGAGCAGCACCATTGTGACGGGCCTGAAGCCCAGCACGGCCTACACGGTGCAAGTATGGGCGGCGAAAGGGTCCCGGGAGAGCCAGAAGGCCCACACCAAGGCGCTGACAGGTACCGTGGGCCCAGTCCAGGGGAGTCCTTCAGATCTTTCCAGAGTGAATCCTCCCCTATGCCTGGGCCAGGGAGGGCAACAGGAAGGGTTTTTGCTTCATCTGAAGATACTTTTGCAGATGTCTTTTACTTGTCTTTTGAGGAGTGATTTGGTGTAACAGTTTAGATAAGATGACCGAGTGCAGAGGACGTGGTACAGTGGTTGTGTACAAGGTGACTTCCCTCAGCCCCATGTCAGGCCCAGAGTCTGGCTGGGCCTTGGGTTCAGTCGGGAGGAGAGACAGGCAGGAACTTCTGTATCCCTTTCCCAGATGGGGCCTCAGGAGGAGCAGCCTCCTCTGCACGGCTTCCAGGGGAAGGTCAGAGATGCCTGCACTATATGTATTTTGTGAGCATGATGTGGCCTCCAGCCTTGGCTTAACATCAGGCTTAGTGGGACGTGAAGGTCTACAGGGCCCTTTAGAGAAACTGGGCAAGGTCTGTCCATCCCTTCCACAGTCAAGTGCACTAACTGAGCCACTGCAGGTGGAAGTAAATTACTGTTAATTAAACTTCATTGTAATTTTTATTAGTGAAAATTAGCCAGTATTTAAAATCTGAAAATGAGTATGTTATTATAGCAACAGGTTTCAAACTAAGCATGTGAGGAAAGCTTTTGTTTTTTCTGCCCCTGAGGTCCTAGTACCCTGTGAGGCTCTCCAGAGTCAACAAGTAGCCAGTGCTTCCCTTCCTCCTCCCATCCACTTTTCTCTCTCTGCCTCTCCCTTGTTCCTTTTGTTATCTCTTCCTTCTTTATCTTTCATTGCTTCACTTTCCCTATTTTAACAGATGATAATGAAATTGCCATCTTTCTATTCCATAGAAACACAAGCTAACCGAGGTAGACATCTCACATCCATGGTGGGGACGGTGGGCACGGGAAAAGGGGGGCAGAAATGAATTTCAAATATTTAAATAGTTACTACTTTGCTTTCATTTTTGAAAAAAAATCCAGTTTTCTATGTGACAAATAGAATAAGATCCATGCCAGATGTTATGCTTTAGAAAATCAAACCAAGCTGATATCATAGAAGCTCAAAATTTGTCAAAACAAACTAATTCAAAGCAACAGCTGTCTGATTTCTATTAAAATATTGCAATTCAGTTCTCAGCTAAAATGCTACTGGGTAGAAAATAGCCCGGAGACCTTTTTGGGTGCTTCCAAATTAAAACTGCCTTCTATGATGTTTCTTCAAAATGGAAATTTCCATTCATATCTTATTTAGTTAAAATAACAAGCTGTCTGGCCGGTTGTTAGGGTGGTGGCTAGTATTTTTGCTGAGCTTCAGTTTTCCTAGTCTATCACATATGTTTGGTGTTTGGGTGAAAAAATACATACAAGAATAGCTCTCTACTTTTCCCTCCCACCTTCTTTTTTTGTTATAAACACTCTCCTGTCTGCTCTTCTCTCTGTAGTGGGGATGCATGTAAGGCCACATACTTGTATATTTAAAAAGTACAACTTTATGTTTCTGTACTAACTTCCATCATAAGCCCCATTCTGTTTGATGGTCAGAAACTTAAGAACATTAAGAGTTGTGCCCTTTCCAAGCTGTGTAAGTCCTCAGCAGTTCCCCAGTGTAGGCATTTTGTCATTTCTTCAGGCAGGTGTGTGCTGGGTTCACCCTGGTTTCTGTGTGTAGGGCTCTGTGTGCAGGCCTGCGGTTCTCTCATTTTTCTACATCTTTGGAAGCCCTGCCTTCTCGGAGAACCCGTGTGTTATCCAGACTGCACAGAGCCCAGATCTCCTGGGAATCTGCTAGGCAAGGGGCCCGAGTCCCTTCCCTGTCAGTCAGCTCGGTGTCCCACTCGTTAATCTTCTTGTCCTTAGAGGGCCTTTATTTTTGGAAATAAAGGGCAGGAGGGTGGGGAAAAGCTCCCTAGCAAGGCAGAACAGATTTGCTGCCTGTTTGGAGGGAGGAACAGGAATGGGAATATGAGGGAAGAAAGTAGAAATTAACAGCTCACAAATTACCTTGTCTGGTTGCATTTTTAGTAATAATAATCACTTGGTTTTTTAATTTATAGAACTCGATCCTCCCACAAACTTTCGTCCATTTGGTATAACACATTCTGGAGGGGTCTTGACCTGGATGCCCCCCTCCGCTCAGATTGATGGCTACATCCTCACCTACCAGTTCCCCAATGGTACCCTGAAGGTACTGAATCTTCTTTTCTCTTGGTGCCTCTCTGTGAAGCATCTGACTTGGAAAAGTCAGCTTGACTGCTGGCCAGCTGGCAACCTGCTGATCAATCAGTTGATCCTTATTGATCACCTGCTACGTACAAGGGACAGTGCTAAGTACAGTCATTTGTGACCACTGTGGTCTCATTAAGGACTGCCCTTTGTGCCTGCTCCTACTGGCCACATTTACTGGCCTATTTACTGGTCACATATCTGCGCTTTTAAAAAATTATTATTATTGTCTGTTTTCCCTAATAAATACAAGCTCCATGAGCAAGGAATTTTGTCTGTTTTGTTTATTTTTGTATCTAAAGTACTTAGGGTCGTGCTTAGCACATGGTAGGTGCTTATTTTGAGCGTATATCACCCCCTCGAATCTGAAGGCCAGCAAATGTGTAAAACTTGCCCAGATGGAAAATTGTCATTCTTTCTTCTTGGTAAGGAAGAAAGAAAGTGGTAGGAAAAACAGGAAGGGAACTTTATTCCTGATTGCAATTAATGCTCTGGCTGTCTACAAATAGTCCTGTACTTATAGAGGAAGTAAGACAGATTCAAAAGGATGTACTGAAATACCAATTATTTCTGTCTCTCAGATATCAATGGCCAGGTTTTGGGCCCTCTTTTAGTGTTTCTTTAGACCAACATTGTCTCCTTGTTGGTGCTGGTAATGGCTATAGTCTATGCTATAGTACGTATCTGAAAGCAAGCATCCCTGGAAAGACTAACTGTGCTCCCCAAGTGGCAGTGCATGGGGTGATGTCTCAGCTAGTGCTTCTAATAGGATTGAATCTCTGTGACACAGGCCACCAGAGAAGTGACTGGGGCCTATGGGGCTTCTGAGCTGCTACTGGGCACTAGGAGAGCATCTATCAGTAGCCCCAGGGAATGCTGTTTGCAGCTAGGGTGCTGGGGGAATCGTACACTGATCACTGTTTCTCTACTTACTATCTCTTTTGTTTGGTAGGAGGTGAAGCTTGGAAGAGGCCAAGAGAGGTTTGAGTTGCAAGGCCTTTCACAGGGCATCACCTACCCTGCTTCCCTGGTTGCTTTTAAGGGTGATCAGCAGAGCAGGAGTGTATCCACCTCCCTTTCCACAGGTACCTTGGAATCCTGTCACTAGGATGATAGTGCGGTAGCAGCTGAGTGGGAGAGAGGTCAGGGAGGAGCAAATGCATATTCAGCTGTGGACTTCTCCTCTGGGGAATTGAAAATGGGGTGATGGGTTCAAAACAAATCTACCCACAGCAAGAAGCACAGAAGGGAGTGAAATAGAGCATTCCTTTGTGGAATGGTTTGGAGAAAGAAGAGCTATGAATTTGATCTTGGTTCTGGTGCATTTGCAGAGTTTGATGAGAGCAGAGCGAGGGAGAAAAAAAGATGTGAGTCAAGATTTAGAAGAAGAAAGATAATGAGGGTTATGAAATAATTTCCAAACAAAATAAATTGCCTTAAAATGTAGAGTCCTTGCCAGGGGTTTAGTTCAGTGGCACAAGTGCTTGCCTGGCAAGTGTAAGGTTGTGAGTTCAATCCCCAGTATAAAAAACAAAGCAAAACAAAGTAGAGGCCTTAAAGAAAGAAATAATTCTTTTCTTCCTTGCATTTCTTCTAACAACACTGCCCTTCTGCTTGGCTCCCAGTGGATGCCCGTTTTCCACACCCCTCGGATTGCAGTCAAGTTCAGCAGAACAGCGATGCCGCCAGTGGGCTCTACACCATCTACCTGAACGGTGATGTCAGCCGGCCCCTGGAGGTGTACTGTGACATGGACACGGATGGAGGCGGCTGGATTGTGAGTCCTGCAAAGCCCAGGGGAGCTCCATGAAACACCTTGTTTCTCTGCCCAAAGTGCTGGTCACAGCTGCCCCTGGAGCACTTGGCGGGGGCGTATACTTGTTTAGCCACGAGAGAGAGGATCTTTGGTTACTTGCAGCTGTTTTGAGAGAGTGTAAGGTTAGAGCCATAGAACAGATGTGATTAAATCAGGATTAAATAGTCTTGTGGGTTTATCATCATCCAATAATGTGCTATATGTATTTATTATCTAAATTGTACCGACCTCAAAGCATTTTGAAAAACATGACCTTCATATGATAGCTTTAGCTAAGCAAGACAGTATTTTCTTTTACAGATAGAGAAAATGAGCCTCACAAAGAAAAATACCTTGTTTAAGTCAAACAAATTAATGACAAAGCTGGGTCTTGATTTTAGGCCTCCGGGCTCCTAACTCATTGGTTTTTCCAATGGGTCATCTAAGATAAAACATGACAAGCTCTTTAGGGGCTTGGTTCTCCAAACTGGAGCCTGTTATCCAGGTTCTGGGCCTTGATTCCAACAAGACAGAAACAAAGCCTTTTGGGCTTTGATTTGAAAGACTTAACACCTGAAAAAGGGAAGCTTGGGCAGTGTCCTGATGGTTCCTGTTCTTGTGGAGGTTTTGTTCTCTTGGGTCATCGTCTGCTTAAACCACATGGCACCCTCTCTGATTGCATGTTGATCCAATTATATGATGAGCTCCCTTTGAAGTCTGCGATCTGATCCTTCCATCTCCCACATCCCGCTTCTCTCTGTGTTCAGACTGATAGAAGCCCTTGATGTCCCAAGCCAGCATGCAGCCCTCACCTGCTGTGCATGTACAACTCATGGTGGGAGAGAGAAAGCGTGATACGATGCTCAGACTACATTCATTTACACATTCACTCATGGGTCTGGGAAATGAGACACTTGAGCAGCCATGGGTAAAATGATACCATCTGATGAGCAGCGGTGGAGCAAAGTTATTAACTGCACAGTGGCATCTGATGGCTGAAAGGCAGTCTGGATTGGATGGAGAAATTCCTGATTGATTTCTAAAATAACTGAACAGAATGCAATGTGGGAGGTCTTCCAGCTGACCAGACCCATAGGGTTGTACCTGCTGCTTTTCATCAGCACCATTGTAACATTTTGGGCTCTTCAGGCCTGAAGCCCAATTTCCTGGCATTGTGTTTGTAATTGACCATTGGCAGGACATTTGTACTGTCTACTATGGTCTTTTTGAAAGCCAAGCTCACACAGGAAAAGGGATGTTTGTCTAGAGTAGCTTTTAGCAAACAGCTATGTCAGTCTGTCTGGCTGAGAAGTCCATGAATTTTTGCACAGATATTTATTGAGCACCTGCTATGTATCAGGTATTGTTTTATATGCTTAAAATGCAGCAATGAAAGAATCAGACTAAAACCTCTGCTCTTAAGGAGCTTGTCTTCTGATCCTGCCCCTGAAAATGACCTTGGCCCAACACAAAGTCAGTTCTAGAAATACGAAAGCACTCTTCAATGTAACCAACACCAGTCACCCACTGCACTCCACTCCAACCCTTATTTTCTAGTCCAGATTCCTGAAAATAATCCATAAGACTCTATGGTGTTTTCTTCCAAGCTGCAGAAGTCATGTGGAGTCTGAAAACTTTGTCACCACATATTGTACTGACAGTTTTCATGTGTTTTAGGTTTTGTGTCACTGAATGACAACCTAGATCACTCTACTTCTTTTGAACTTTTAAAATTCTTTTAAGGAAATTCTTCTCCACACCAGGCAGCGGGAACCCTGGTTGGTGAACAGGCCAGACAATCTCTGCCCTGAGGTAACAGAGGCTGCTGGTGGGAAGCTGGAAAGAACATCAGGGAACACTTAAAGGTCTCAAATGTTTCCAGCTTTGTTTTCTGTCTTGGAAGTCTGCAAGATTGTACTTAGGGGCTCTTTCCACCAGTCTTTAAATGCATTTTTGATTTTTTTCTTTTTGATTGAGTCATTTAAGACATTAAGTTACTGAGTGTAATGACAACTCTGGAGAACAGAACCAGACATAAGGAATTTTCCCCTCCTTTTCAGACTTATTTGCTAAGGAGATCTTGTTATTCCAAAATAGTTATTATAATGTTTTCACTCAGAATGAGAGTGAACTAGATTCTGAGTGAAGGCTGCCTGCTTATGATGTAGAAATAATCTCTATAGGCTAGTTCATTTGAATTTGATATAATCAAGAGCAAACTAACATTTATTGAGATACAATAACAACTGTATTTGTGCTGGACTCGGGACTAAATATTTTATGGGTTATTCTGATTAATGACCTTGTTGATAACTCACTTTCAGTCCATGACAGAGGAGCAACTATCATCTTGGTCTGATAATTTTAAAAAGTAGTTTCCCAAGGTTGACGACCTTGCCCAAGGACACAGCTAGTCAGTCTGGCTCTGGTCTAAACAATGAAGGAGGGGAACCAGAAGCTGCTTGCCTGGCCAAGCTGCAGTATTGTTTTAAAGAATCAACTGGAAAGCCCTTATCAAGCTTGGGCATTATGTTTATTGATCAGTGATAAAGACCAAATGCCATTGTAATGCAACTGTCCTTGGAAGGGCAGGATTGGATGTGAACCTGACCTCCTAGGAATGTGACTTGACACAGTGGGTGTAGAAGCAAACGTAGGTCCCACATCTACCCTAGGATTCCATGGTACATTGTACAAGGAGAGGCCTGGGAGGGTGTTGGCATAGGCATCTTGCTAGGAAACAAACATATCTTCTAGGTCTTAAGAAACGGTGTTTGGGAACTAGGCTTGGTAGAGTTGGTATTTTCAAAGTGTCTGAGAGATGAGATGTGTGTTACCCTTGCTTTAGCCACTAAGTAGCTGTATGACTCCAGCTACTTGCTTTTTCTGACCTTCACATCTGCAAAATGGCACCATGCACCCTTGCCCAGAGCAAACACTCAACAGGTGCTCAATAAATGAGTAAACCAGTGAAGAAGGATGGAAGCTACCAGAGCCCTGGGAAGTCAGTGTTAATGCAGTGTGTGATTGTATGCTGTGGTCATTCCTAAGTTCTGTTGTTCAGCTCTTTCCCATTTGTAGGACATTTTCACAGGACATGTGCCATCTCATTTGGCCTTTCCAGCAGCTCTGTGTGGTACAGCCCTCTTTCCCACTTCTATCCCTGTTTTATAATGAGTTGGCAGAAGGTCAGGAGCAGAAATGCCTGACTCACCTCCCCTCTGCCAGGGACAGGCTATGGCTGACCCAGAGCCTGGAACCTGTCCCTACTTATCAGTGCCTTAGTTCAGCCCTTACTGGCCCTGGGAGCCTGCAGCGGTGCTTCAGGAGGAGTTGAAGGGGAGCGCCCATGTGAGGTATCAGCGCTGCTGCAAGATAACCTGTCCTCAGCTCCCTCTAACTCTTCCCAGAGAAAAACATGAAGAATGCACAAATATGAGAAGGTTTCCTTTAACAGGTTCAGGATAGCGTGTTTTACTGCAAGGCACCTGCTGTGAAGCCTGGTGGAAAGCAGAGAGATTAGATTTTGTGCTGGGGCTTAGGATTGAATGAAAATGGAGGAAAATTGACAGAAAGAGGCAATTTTGGCTTTTGGTTAGTGATAATCATTTCTGAGGTTAGCTAGGATGGCTTTTAGCTTGGTTCTGAAGGTCAAGTGGAATTATATATGATCAAATCCAGTAGTGCACAGAGGTGGATTTAGGTTTCATATACTTTTAAATTTACTTTATATAAAAGAATCCAATTTACTCTGATGGGAACTGCCCTTCTCCAAATAGAGGAATTTTTGTGAAAAAGCCATTTCTGCCAGTATCCAACTCCATCTCATTTCACACTCTCTTCTGCCCTGTCTCTCACCTGTACAGCCCTGGTAAAGCCAATGAAGAGCCCTGTCACTGCGGTCCTTTGATGCCCTGTTCCCCACCGTGTCAAGAGTATGTGGCACCACAAACCATTATTTCTCTGTGGCTTTGTGAGCCAATATTTTCCTAGCTTTCTTTTCATATTTCCAGCTACTTTCCTGTCTTTAATGAAATAATTCTTCCCCATGAGGCTGTTACACATTAGCGGTCCTTGAGGCTTGATCCCAGGCCATTTTCTCCCTTTAGTTCCTATTTTCTTCCTGCACGGCCTCCGCTGTTCACAGGACTTCTCTTTCCCCGATGTCCCAGTGGGTCTCTGGTCATTAGGATGGAATGGGTATGTTGCAGTAGCAAACCACCCCCATGTTTTAGTGGCCTAACAATGAGCCTTTTGCTCATGTGTGCAGTGTCCTCTGAAGGTTTGGCAGACACTTCTAAGTGGTGACTCAGGGACTCAGGCTGCTTCTACCTTGTGGTTCTGTCATTTCGACATTTGGCCTTCAACATGGTACCATGGCACAGGGTGGTAGAAGATAACACGGGTCTCCCACCCACTCTCCTATGCTCCCGTGTGTAGCCTTTTGGTTAGAGATTCCACAGCTCCACCTGAACTGCGAGGGGAATTGAAAAGGACTAGAATTTTCTAAGACGCATAATCACTTTAAAGTGTAGCTTAGACTTCTCTTTAGGACTCTAGCTCTTACACTCAGCTGCTTGTGGGACAGCTGCATGCCTCAGAAGTATCTCACACTGCATTTCCAGAGGAGCTCACCGTGTACTCATAAACCTGTTCTGCCTCAGGATCTCCCCTCTAGGTGAAGAGTTTAGTGATAGTCACCCAGTTCTCCAAGCCAGAACCATCAGAATCACTCTTGCCTTTCTCTTCTCTTCCTTCAGTCTCACATTCTATTACCATGACTGTCAGTTTTACTTTCGGTCCACCGTTGTCTCTCCTCAGGGCACCTTCACGTGGACTGTCCTCTCTCACCAGTCCACTGCAGTGATCTCCTAACTGACTGTCCGTCTTCTACTCTTGCCCTGGCCAGTCCCTTCTCTGCACTGCAGTTAGACAGAGCTGAGCATGCGTGATACTCTTCCTGCAGCTCTCAGTCGCTTCCTCAGGCGAGCTTTCCTGGCTCCTTGACCAGGTTCTCCTAGTTATTTCTCTCACACTCCTCTTGCACAGCACTTACTGTTTTAATTGCATGTTTGGTTGTTTAATTCATGTTTGTGTCATTTGCTGGACAGTTAGCTCTGTGAAGTGAAGGGACATTTTTGGTTTTTTAGTTTTGCATATCATCTTGCATAGTGCCTACTACATAACAGATGTTCAATGAATATTTGTTGGATGAACTTTGTTCTCCATAAATTTATATACTTGCTACATTAGGAATTAAGTGAACTAAAAGATGATTCCCACTTTCAAACTATATAAAGTGGAAGAAGGAAGACAACATATAAATACAATGTACCTCAGTTGAGTTGAATAGATGTTCAAGGTTATGAGTCAGAGCTAGCGAAAGTCTGGAATGTCTTGTCCTACCCAAGCCACCACTGGCAACTGTAACACCCCTTCCCTGAGTTTTTCTGTGCTCCTAATTGAAGTTTCTTGAGGGAAGGAATCTTCTTTGTTGTAAATTACACGTTTTAGTACCTAGCATGCTTCTTTGTAGCTCAGAAATTCTTATTAATATTGTAGACAAATATGGTGAAACTACCTACATAGAAATTAGACTCGTTTCTGAACAGGAACGATGTGGTGCTGCGGAGGAAGTCACTCTGTGGGAAGCGTCAGTCCTTCCTAACTGTTGATATCACCTTCAGACACACAGATATGGTCCACCTTTCACTCCGTTCTCTCTGTATAGAGTGTCGTGATAAACCATCTGCATCCCTTTTCAGGTCTTCCAGAGACGGAACACCGGGCAGCTGGATTTCTTCAAGCGTTGGCGGAGCTATGTGGAAGGCTTTGGGGACCTTAAGCAGGAATTCTGGCTTGGTATGGTTTCTGAGCATCAAAAGTGGAATGTGTGTGGATAATTTCCTCCTTGACAAAGTGGTCACGCAGCTCAACGAGAGGTCCAGCTGACAGGGACATGCTGTGTGGGTGATCCCCTGCCAGTGGGAAGGTTCTCATGAGTTCTGGAGTTGTTAAGAAGTAGAACTACTCCAGGTGGCTTTTGTGTTGTGTGTAAACTCTGCAAAATCTCTTGGAGCCTGAAATTCTTCCAAATAGTAGAAAAAAAGTTGTCTGCTTTGATTCTGGGCTCTTACAGGAGGGATATTCTAGAGTCCCTGAAATTCTGATGGTAATACCAGGTTTTACAGGCAATTACACTTTCCCCCTTCTCCCTGTTCTCCTCTGGAGCAGATGTTCACGGAGAGTGAGACAGCCAAAAGCATCAGTTGGGAATTGCAAAATTTAAAAAATCATAATATGAACACTCTGTGTCTAATGGAGTAGAAGATGTTTGTGGTTTGTTTGGTACAAAATCTCCTCAGGGATCTGAGAACAAGTATTGATCTGTTGTCTGCTTGTGAGATGTGTGAACAATAAGAATCACTTTTGTTTTAGAGACACAGAGCTGATGGACAGATTAACCCCATGATTTTTTCCATCCCCCAACTATGCTCTTTCACATGAGTCCTTAATATGACTGTGCCAAAAAAAATAATAGAGTGAGAAAATTCGTCCTTTCCCCCCAAAGAAAAAGTGTCAGAAAGGCCCTTTACTGGGAGAAAACATAAAGGCTAGGATGGCTTTTGGCTTTGAAAGTCTCAGATGCAAATGGAGAGGCTCATACACATGGGTTGGTTGGTGTGCCAGTCACTTTACTTATTTTTGGGACACAATATATGACACCAACAAATTAAAGGTGAAAAGATTATGATGGCTAATAGTTTGTAGAAGTTTCAGGCCATAGTTGACTGACTCCAAGGCAGGCAGCGGGGCCAGGCAAAGGAGAACAGCCCGTGGCATGTCAGCAGGAAGCAGAGTACCATGAAGGGAGGAGGAGGAGGGAGAGAGACCCTCCCAGGCCATGCCCCCAGTGACTCACCTCTCACCAGGCTTCACTCCAGAATCGCCGTTAGTTAAGACATCGGTGGAGTAATCCACTGATGAAGGTCACACCCCCTTGATCTAATCACCTCCAAAAGCTCCACCTGTGAGCACAGGAGGCTTTGAGGGGGGCATCTATATAGAAACCATAAATGGTCACTAGAACTCCATTCTGTATTTTTAGGACTGGACAAGCTACACAATCTCACTAGCAGCACTCCTACCCGGTATGAGGTCAGAGTGGATTTACAGACTTCCAATGAATCTGCCTATGCTGTGTATGATTTTTTCCAAGTGGCTTCCCCCAAGGAGCGATATAAGCTAACAGTTGGGAAATACAGAGGCACAGCAGGTAAGAGTGTTTCCTTCCTGTTAACGGTCTCCTGCTCTCTGTTGTCCAAGGATTGTTTCACTAGGTGCCATGGATGCGGGTGGGGCTGGAATAGCATTCTATGGAGAAGAATTGTTCTTGACAGTTGGGATCCTGCCTTCCGCAGGGCGCTGGGGGTGAACATAGATGTTAAGGCAATCCTTGACCTTCATGCATCTGGAACTCTTGTACCCACTTCAGATAAAACCCTTTTTCTTATACTTCCTCAGTTGAAGCTGTTGGAATTAGCTGACGAAAATTAGCCTTTCTCATGATTTCCTGGTACATTCAGCCTCTCAAGGGCTTTGGTCCTGTGGCTGTTGTCTGCACAGCAGTGTGTGTGTATGCTATTATTTAAGAATTTTGTGGTACTTTGTTATAAATAAAGACAGAAAAATGAAAGTGCAAACAAGAAGGATAGGTCTCATTAACTTAAAACAACTGTAATAACCCAGAAAAGAGTCGTTCAGCTCAAAGCAGAGAATCGTTAGCCCTGATTAGCTGCTTGCTGCATTTTAGCCATTGATATGTTTATTGGTGACAGATAGGAACAAAACTAAGTAATTTAATGGGAATGCTGGAATTATACCTGTAAATATTTCATTTCAAAGAGGAGAAATGGTTATTGCTTAATACTAATATTTAAAATCTATATTTATGGTTTTTAAGCTAAGTAAGTCTGTTCTTTGGTTTTTGTGTTTCGCACTTTAGTGTAGCTATGTTGAAAGGTGTCACCAGCCAAATGGACACAGCAAAAATATCAGGTGACTTTCAGAGAGTCAACCAAGTGGCGAGGCCAGTGAGGAGCTAAGGAGGGGGAGAGCAGGTGCCCTGAGGATTGGTGTGGACGGAAGAAGCTTCCTGCGGGCAGCGGCTGGAGCAGCTCAGGGGGACGGACTGAACAGAGGTGGGAGGAAGGGAGGGGCCCTGAGCGAGAGCAAGCACTGGGCTGAGCCACGGGTATTACAGTGTAGTCTTACAGGACTTCTTAACATTGTCTGCACCCTCCTGTGGGCAGGCAACTGTGAATTTCTTCGAGATCTATCATCCATTTAAAAAAAAAAATCACATGAATCTTGCTCGTCTTTCCCTATGCCTAGCAAAGAGCCTGACACAGAGAAAATGAGCTGAAAAAACGAAATTTCTAGCAGGACTTTTTAACATAATCTCACAAGTGTGTAATGTCTCACAGGGTAGTTCCCGAGACCCAAAAGGTTCCCCCAGGGTTGGTGGGGGAGTGAGTTTGGTGAAGGGGTGAGGGAGGAAGGGTGGTCACTTACCAGAGCCTGAGGAGTTTAGGCCACATAGAACTGTCCGAGGATTCCAGGCAGGGTTTGGGTGGGGAAAAGTGTGCAAGAACCGTTGGTTTATGTCTTGCAGGACTAAGTCCATCTGTACCCCATCTCTAAATAAGATCGGACTGCATCAGCTTCCTGATGGGTCCTCGGCACCCAACCCAGTTGCTTTTACACTATTGGGGCCTCCTGCTCGGGTCTCAGTCTACACAGAGCCTCTCTGGTCATCCCCATGTGTCCAGTACTCTCTCTCTGTTCTTGCCACGGCCATGGGCCTCAGCTTTTTCTCCTCACCTGGAGTCCCTGCCTTCACAGGTGCCATTTGTTGGTCCATTGATCCCTGGACAACCCGTTGGCCCCTGTTCCCCACTTCTCTCCTCCACACACAGCATCCCATACCTCTTGGGGACCTTATTCAGGCCTGTCCTCTCAGGCTGTCCCTTCTGCTTTCCTAGAACATTAAAATTTGCCTTTTCTGGGCCTGTTTAACATAATCCAGCAAATGAACTGATGCTAATGGGAAAGCGAATGAAAGGGAGTCTGTGTTATTTGGGGATTAATGTGATTTTCCTCCCAGGTACTCTATTTGCATTTTAGCTGTGATTAGGGGATAATTCCCATTCTAAAGTTGTCCAGGGCAACAGTGCCAGTCAGTGGAGGATATATTTTTTTAATAGGTAGTCTGGGGAGACTTTCAAGTCTCAGCATTTAGGCGGCAATCTGGTCTTCCTGTGCATATGATCATTCCCACCTTTAAAGTCTGAATTAGGCTGGGGGAGCAATAGAGTTTTAGCTTTCCTTGTATATGCTGATGGGTCCGCGAGGAGAGCTTTCAAATTTAGGAAGCTTCTGGCTTCTCTTGTCCTAAATTAGGAAGCCCTATATAGAGGAAAGGCATTTAAACAGAAGGTGAATACTTTGATTTCTCTGTTCACGTGCTGCCTCTCTTCCCTTCGGACTTGGTTAGAGCTCTACTGAGAACTGAGAGAGTTGCAGTCTCAGAGGAAATGTGTGGTTCAAGGCTTTTCCCCTCCTCAGACTGTCTGGGGGGCCTCAGATCCAAAAATCCATTATTCCCTCATGAAGAATGAACTGCAGGGATGAAATGCTGTAAATTTTCTTATTTTAAGCTTTGGAGTGGGCAAAGAGGCTGTTGGATACTCTCTACCTTCAACATACTATTCATCTGTTTAGAGAAGAAAATAGAAACATAGATAGACATTCAGAGTAGTGCCGAATGATTTCATTCCTTACAGCTGATTTCAACTTCCGAATGTCTGGGGCTCAGCTGTACCCGGGTTCGGGGATGGGTCCAGACTCTTGGAATCTGTACCAGCAACGAGTGGGCCGGGGCCACTCGAATGCCAGTCCATTCCTTGTTTTGAAGTAACTTTTTAAACCCTGGCACAAGAGAAAGGGGAAAAATAACTTAATGGTTATGTGTATAAAAGGGAAAGCCAGAAATGTCACATCACTCTTTTTTTTTTTTTTTTTTTTTTTTGGTCTTTTTTCCTTTTTATTGGTACCAGGGATCAAACTCATGACTGCCTGCTTGCAAGGCAGGCACTTATGCTGCTGAGCTAAATCCCCAGCCCCGTGTCACATCACTCTTGCTTGCTTTCTCCTGATCCCAACCCAGACATACGGTCTTAGGGTGTATGCAACTTGTGGACATATGATGGTTGGTAATGGCTTTTCCTGGTCTGAGGTGGTAGCTGCCCGGGTCATCCTTTCTGTCCCATGAAATGCTGAAGGAGGAGAATTGGGCTCAGAGTGAAATTTGGATGACATGGTTGATGACTGGCCCAGTGACCCTACCTTGAACTGGGGTTCAGACCTTTTATGTCCTCCATCAGCTTCTCCAGCCTGCACCTGAGAAGTTCCAGCCCCTCACCAAAGACATTCGGAATCACTCTCGAATTATCTCCAATGCTGTGCTTTTTCCTAAAACTCCGAGGAGGGAGGAAGTCCGAGCACCATGGGCTTGACTGTTTTATTTTACTTCATTTGACTTAGGGAAATTAGCTTCCTAAATCAGAATGCTGTCTTCACTAGCCCCTGATGACCCGACTAAAGTTATTTTCTTATTCACGAGTATCCTCACTGTCTACATTCTGAACGTTAGAATGGCTTCAGTTTCTAGAAGGCAGAAAAATCTACCTGCTGAAAAAAATTCCATATAGACTTAAACCTGATTCACCCATCTTTGGCCCAGTGCCCAAGGTTAGATAACCAAACCCCGTTTTTAAGAAAGCCTCTGCCTGTCCTTCGAATCAGCCCTGGGAGTTCTGTGTGCAAGTAATGTAAGCGGTACTCATTCAAAGCATGTTACTAAGGGAGCCCGTGTGTGCTGTTTCAAGCTGTAGTTAACTACGTGCATGAGTCTGGAGGGAGGAGGGAACGCACCTTTCTTCAGCTGGGAACAATGATGGGGCGGAGCTATTTTGCTGTCCTAGTGAAGAGGCCTCTCTGCCTCTGTTCTTGCCTTTGCTGGGTGAGGCAGAAAGTGCTGTTGTCTGAATTTGCAGAGCTGGCGGGGAAAACCAGGACACAAGGTGCTATCAGCTCTGTCGCAGTGCTGGGGACAGAATCCAGCTCAGGCCCTTGCTAAGCATGCAGCTGACCACTGAGCTACATCTTCTTCCCTTAGCAACCCCTTATGGTCCTGCCCACTCACCCCAATTAAGCTTTGAGAGCACTTTTGCATTGCCAGAACCTAATGTGGTGCTGGTCCTCTGAGGGTAAATATTCTCTGCATAGGAAAATGAATGATGCAGGAGCCTGTATCAGCGTGGTCATAAGAGCTGGCCCATGCAGATGGCAGGGCCCAGGCTGTGTGTAGTTTCTGGTTCTGTAAGTGTGGGATGAATCCTAGAATGTGCATTCCTAACACATTCTCAGGGGCTGCTGAAGGCCTCACTTGGAGGTTGGTTGTTAGAGATGGGTTTCGTTTCCTCTCATAATTAAAGCCTTTGTTGAAATAAGGGAGCCATAGGATACTTGGTACTCGGAAAGAACCTTGGTCTTGGAATCTGAGGGGTCAGAGTTGAGTTCTGGGCTCTCGTTTGTGGACTATGGGATCTTGACAAGTCATAAAGTCCACTCCCTGTGAATTTATTTCTTCATGTGATCAAGAGCCACTCTGCCCACTTCTCAGAATCAGATGAGAACGTGGGCGTGAAGATTATCCATGGACTCAGAGGTTAGGTGTAATGGAATTATCACTATAGCAGGAGCAGAATTTGCTTAATCCTGTGATTGATGTGAGCCCTTAGTACATTTTATGAGCTGAAAAAGCAAGTAAACTTGTAACAGGATGACAAATACAGGAAAATGGGTGCGACACAGGTAAAATAAGGTAGATCCCAGACCGGATGTAATGAAGCACTGAATTGTGCATGTATCCTTGGAAAGGCCCTGCAAGTTCCATTGTGTGTGCATATGTGTGTGCACGTGTGCATTTGTGTGGAGAGGGTGGCGGGAAGAGCAGTGAGAACCCTCCTCAGTATGGAGTGCAGTTAGGCCTTGAGGGATGGTTAGGGTTTGGCCAGTGGAAGGCAGAATGAAGACCTGTTGGAGGCGAACCTTTCCTTTCTGCAAGTAGAGGGTGCCTGATGGGGACTGAGACCCAAGCTTGTGCAGAGGGGCCGCCAGGGGACAATCCTACAATGCGAGGAGGAGTCATTTACCTCTTGCGTGCAGATGAGAAGATGAAAATAGGAGTTTGAATTTCAGAGGGGTTGGCGGGCAAGAAATTGGGGAGGAAGCCACTGGATTCACATGGGCCCACAGAGGTGAGATGAGACGGAGGCCAGCAGCCGTGATAGGGTGTGTGAGTTACCTGAGAAAGAAAGATTGGATAAAGATACAAAGGGCTTGTGGAACATGGCACTGGGGTTTCAAGACTGGGTGGCAGGGACTAGGGTCACTGTGGCAGAGACAGGAAGACAGAGAGCAGTTATGTTGTGCAAGGGGTGGTCAGACATTTGACATTATGTGACTAGAGACTGTGGAGCCTACAACCATAAAAGCTGTGATGGGCACTGGAGAAACAGGCCTGGACATGGGGTGACAGGCTGAGAACCTGCTCATCTGTGTTGTTTTCTCATTTTGAGAGTGGTGACCATCTGTGATGTAGAATGGGCTGAGTCCTTGGCATTTTCGTGCCCAGATGTTTCCTGCTGGGTCCTCTTTCAGGCCAGACCGTGATCACGTGCTCAATGACTACTCAGGGGCTCTGGTCTCCCCTCTTCTCTCCTGCAGGGGACGCTCTTACATACCACAATGGATGGAAGTTTACGACTTTTGACAGAGACAATGACATCGCCCTCAGCAACTGTGCCCTGACGCATCACGGGGGCTGGTGGTACAAGAACTGCCATTTGGCCAACCCCAATGGCAAATACGGGGAGACCAAGCACAGTGAGGTACGTGATGGGCAAATGTCTGCTCTGTCTCAGGCTCTGTCCACATTCAGCTTCCACAGTGACTCCTGCAGGCTAGTCTGCTGGCCCGCTTTTTTTAAGGCTCCCAGTCAGGCCACTGCCTGCTGTACAGTCCAGGGCTGCACACTTTTTTTAGTGGCAGGATGGTGGGAAGGTCGGGTTGTCCCCACTGTGGACTCACTGTGGCGTGAGCCATACACCATTTCATGTTAGAGTTCACCCAGGATGCTGTCATGGCTTGGGCTGCCATAACAAAACACTGCAGAGAGGGTCGCTTGAATGAGTTTTAGGGGCTGGAAAGTCCAAGATCAGACTGACAGCAGATTGGATTCTTGTGAGGACAGGGTGGGTGGTGGGTGGTGGGTAGTAGGGAGAGAGAAGTCCTGACCTTATCCTCTTCTAATAAGGACACTGAGCTCATGCTTAAGTCCTCCCCATCAAGCTCACTAACTACCTGCTAAAAGCCTCCTCCTCTTACTATTACATTGTGGGTTAGAGCTTCCACTTGTGAATCCTGGGTGAACACAAACATTCAGTCCATAGCAGGTACTTCGTAGTACTTTCTAGTTGCTCTCCTCATTAATCCAGAGCATTTTTTCAAGTCCTTTGATCACCAGGAGAGTGAAGTCCTCCACTTTAGCTCAGAGCCTTCCTTAGATCCACTGTGCCCAAAGACACCCGGAGTCTGCCTAGAGCACCATGCTAGCTCTGTCTGTGTCAGGAGTGTGCAGGGCTGGGAGCCTGAGAGGGCTTCTCTCCCCTCTCTTGCTCAGATGCCTTCCTACTGGCAGTGTCTTACACTTCCATGACCCTCGCGGGTTATCTTGACTCTTTGCCAGGTACTGGAGCCTCCTGCTTGCCTCCTGAAAACTGCATCTTGGCTCCTAATTATCCTTAATCCCTGCCCTCCCTAACCTGGGAGTCCTGATTCTGGGTTTCTACCTGCACCTCCCAGGTCCTGACCTTAGCTTTCAGAAAGCCCCTTTCCCCAGAACTTGCCCCATACCAATGTGACTGCCAACATCAGCACATGGAAAGTCTGGGGACATTTTCACTACTTCCATCCTCATCAGCTCCTTATGTGCTTTTCAAATGGAAGAGAAATTTGTACCCACCCACCCCCCAAGACAAGGAAGGTGGCCCATCAATATGGTGGCAGTAGGGACGGGCTCAGAGAAGCCTGCCATCAGAGATCAGATATTTGAAATGAGCAGCCAGCAAGCCCTAAACCATCCCCATATTTGCTAATAAAAGACATTCATCTGTTTAATGTGTTTTTCACAGTCTGCAAGGCATTTAGCTTCTTGTTTATTATTTACCTCACAAATTAAAATACATAAAATTGGTCACTTGGGCTCTTTATTGGCCAGGTTGCAAGGTTATTAAGTGAATTAAATATTATTGCACTCACCAGTCAAAAGACATAAAATGAAATTTAGTTTTCGGCAGGCTGTTTGTTACCCGAGAGCTAACACCTAAACAGTCTAAATTGAAAATGATTGTACACAATTGGCCAATTAATATGTTTATTTTTGCCTTTAACTTTTGCGAAAGTAAAGAGTGAGGCGAACCTAGTTTGCACGTGTCTGGCCGGGCTGACCCGGTGTTAGCTCTGTGCCTGCCGGGCCTCACCCACATCCTGGACTGAAAGCCTCACTGTCCTGCAGCGGCCTGGCCTCTGTCCTCTCTGCCTGTCTAACCGAAGATGCCAGCAGAGGGCGTGTGCTCTTAACTCTGGTCCTCACCTTCCGGATCACAACGCCAGGGACCCCCTTGCACCTCCTTTCTGTGCTCAGGGGAAAGGAAATGGATTGACTACCAAAGAATGATTCTTTAGTTCTGAAAGCCACTCTCCCTTCTTCCCAACTGCATCTTCTTGATGTTGACTTTTTTTTTCTTTTTTTTTGCGTAGGGAGTGAACTGGAAGCCATGGAAAGGACATGAATTCTCCATCCCTTATGTGGAAATGAAAATTCGCCCTCATGGCTACGGCAGTGAGCGTTTCCGCGGCAGAAAGAAGCGGACTTTGGGAGGAAAGCCAAGAATGTTCTGATGGCCTGTCCAACAATCTTTGCAGGAGACGAGACCAGTTGGAGTCAGGGGTGCGAAAGTTTGGGGCCGGTGGGTGGCGGCGGCTGGGGAACGGAAGGTTGGAGGATGCTCAGAGCCTCTGGTTTCTGAGATTGCTGGGTAACCCACAGAACGAGTGAGGTCAGCGCGCTTCAAATCCCACAGGGTCCTTCCCTGTCACCTGCAGTTTTGCCCATCACCGCTGGGGGGCCAGCGAGTCAGCACCGTCCTAGTTGTAGTCTGTAGGGTGAACAGACCGTTTTGGAACGTCAAGATTTTTTCGGCCCATTTTTGGTACCAGATATACTGGATTAGGATAGAAAAGTGAATCTTCCAGGACCTCACGGATTGGCAGACTCTAGGAACTGGTGCACACATATGCATTTAAAATCTCTGCTAATACAAATCTTTCTAGAAAGGCACCAGACAGAGGTTCCAGCTGCAGAGTCAGGGCTAGGATGACTTGTTGAATGTTGCCTCCCATTCCCTGTGGGTTTTCAGGGAGAAAGTGTAAATCCCACTCCCTTTTAATTGCTGGTGTTATGAGGAAGAACAGAGAGAGTAAAAAGGGGCCAACATGTGCTTACATTTAGCTGGGTTCTGACAGTCTCCAGCATGCTGGAAACCAAAGCTCCATTTTACTGCTATTTTTAACAGTCCCCTTAGATCCATTTGCATAATCATCTTCACAGATCTGCATACGTTGTAAATAAAGTCTCACTCATTTCAGTTTAAACAATTTGACTGTTTGAAACACTAGTTTCTCCCCAAGACTCTCCCCTGACTCTCTTTCACCCCTAGCAGGCCCTCAGCCTCCCTCTTTTCCGGGCTCCCCACACTGCTGGACCCGAGTTTCCAGGCAGTGGGGCACTGAGAGGCTTAGTCTTTGACTGGATGCTGGGCAAGTCAGATCCTTTTTCTTATTTCTTATCATTTTGGAAGGTTTTCTGTAGCCAACTCAGTGACCGTTAAAGTAACTTAAATTCCTATTCAAGAAAATAAAACACTTGGTTAAAAAAAGAAAGAAAAATCTCTTGCCTTGTGTTATTTTCCCCACATAAGTGCACTTGAATTCTAAGTTTAACCTAAGCACAAGTGAAGTACAGTTTGTGTGCTCGTGGAATCCGGTGGGCTCTGGTCTCCCCGCTGTGTGATGGCGAATGGGGACATCTGAAGAGCAGAAGAGGTGCGTGAGCAGGAAGGACGGTGAATGTTCTAGAAGCCCTTGAGCCCTGCCAGGCTGGGGTGTAGGGCATTGTCTAGCTTTCACCAGGTTTTAGCCTCTGGGGAAATGCCAAGCCATATTCCTACAAGCAGTTTGGTCTCCCTGTTACATTTTCAGTGTGCTTCTCTCTCCCTTTCCCAAGACTTCCCAGACCGACACAATCAACGAGGCCACTGCGGCTGCTGGATCGGATAACGAGTGGCCTGAATGAAGTCCACTGTTGATGTTGGGGCCACTCATTAAAAAATGTGTTTGCATGTTGCTCATTGATGGAGAATCTATTAAGTGTTGGCTTGCCTTGAACGAAGCATGTGCTTGGCACTGAGGAAACAGAGGTGGGCAAGACAGATCTAGTTCTCAAGCTATCAGAGCTGGTGCACATTCATTCATTCACTCACTCATTCAGTAGTTGTTGATTAAATCCTATCAAGTGCCAGGTTCTGTGTTGGAGGGTGTTGAAGTTGAATACACATGCAGGGCTGTGGCATGGCCCCGGCATGATTGAACTGAGAATTAGGAGACACTTCCGGTGGCAAGATAGGCCATGGCTGAAGCCACCTGGAGACTTTCTGGATAGTGTTCCTTAATTAGCATCATCTGTTGCTCTGAGGGGCCCTTGAACCCTCCCAAGATTCTGTTCAGGTTTCCTCCATTGTCCACTCACCTCCTTGCCTGTTCTGATTACGTACAGGCTGCCCAGTGTCAGTCAGTTGGCCAGCTAGCAGAGTTATGAGCTCTGCTAAGGATTTTACCCTCCTGTAGTCCTAAAGACCATGCTGTGTGTCTTATTCCTTTGGGCCTTTGCTGTGCACCCATTTGGGGGGCTTGGGGCATTTAAGTACAGACCCCAACAATTCTACTCTAAGCATCAGACCTATTCAGGTAAACAAAATATCCATGTATCCATTTTGTTTATATATTCTAGTCCTTCCTTATATTCTAGACATGGAGACTGATGATAAACAATAATAAATTATACTTATATTTCAGTGGTAGAGGCTGACAATAAATGATGGGTAAATGTATAATTGCAAGAAGTGATAAATGCACAGGAGAAAAAGCAGGATTAAGAGCTGGAGGTGCTGATGGGTGGTGAAACCTGGAGGTGGCTGTCTTAGTTACTCTCTTATCTCTAAGACATGATACCTGACACCCACAATTAAGGAAAGGGAGGTTTATTTTGGCTCACAGTTTCTGAAGGTTTCAGTCCATAGTCGGCTGGTTCCAAGGTGTGTCAGCATGGTAGAGAAGAAACAGCTCATGACATGGCAGCAGGAAGCAGAGAGGAATGAGAGAGGAGGGGAGAGAGAGAGAGACAGAGCGAGAGAGACAGAGAGACAGAGACAGAGAGGGAGAGACAGAAAGAAAGGGAGAGACAAAGAGAGGCATCCTTCTAGGCCACGCCCCCAGCAACACAGCCCCTCCAATCAAGCTTCACCTCCCAACATCTCATTTACGTATAAGATCATAAGTTGACTAATTACACCCTTATGAGCACATGAGGCTTTGTGGGGAGCATCTAGATATAAACTGTAACAGTGATGTTCTCTCAGGGGCTGAGGGGCTATGGAGGCCTTTCTGAGATGGGGGAAATCTATCAGATTTCTTTTAGTTGATCCAGCTTAGTTCCAAATCTTCTCCTTGAATTCCCTTCTGCTGTCTGCTGTGTAGGCACAGAGTACGCACTTCAGCGACTCAGAAGCCTTGGGCTTGTCTCTGGTAGGTCAAGTTCTTTAGTAAACAATGTCATCTTGGCAACATGAGCCCACCCTCAGGGACTGACTTTGCGGCAGAGATGGTGGATGACGGTAGTGCTTCTTAACTTTGAAAATGCTTCTTGAACATATATATTAAAATACAGATTTCTGAGCTCCTCAGATGTTCTGAGCCAGCAGATGTTGGATGGGGTTTGCTGCCCAACTGGTGACCACAGCCTACGGAACTTGGATGTGGGGGCCACTCATGGTCTTCACTCTGGTGGAGTCTGTGTTAGCAACAGATTACAGAGCTCATGCTCCAGGCTCTTTGACTCCAACATTTCTTCATCTCTACCTGTGAAGAGGATTTTTGGGACACTGGAGTTTGGTCTTGTGTTTTTTTTGCCCATAGGATTTATGCTGGGGCTTAAAAATCCTCCAGTGTCCTTTAAAGTTCTGTTGGGGCTGGTGAGGAAGTCGGGAGCTCATTTGCAAAGAAAGTTTATCATGACTGTGGAAAACCTGGGCCCAGCTGCGGCAGCTTGGCCTCTGGTACTTACACATAGGCCATAGAAAGGCTGTCTGGGCAGACTGACTTTTCAGAGAGGGGCAATCATTTTTGAGAGCCAGATTATGAGCCATCCGAGGTTTGGCAGCTTCCAAGAAGCAGTTCCTACCCTTGGGACAAACCAAGGCAAGGAGAAGTTTGTGTAGAAGCACCAGAATCGGGAGCACGACAGAAGTCACAGCCTGTGCCAAAGTTTCGAGAGCACTGTCCACTCCACACAAGACACAAGGAAGGCAGTGATGAGCCAAACAGGATGCTGCCCTTGTGGGGCTCACAGGGTGGTGGGGACAGTGTGTGCACCACCCAGGACAGTGGCAGACAAGAGAGAGGATCGTGGGAGGATGGGCAGCAGAGTCGGGGAGAGTGATCCTACCTGGGGTGCTGGAGAAAGCTGTGGACCTGATGCCAGCATTGGATCTGGAAGGATGGTGGTGGCGGTGGGGAACTCAGTGGCAGAGATGAGAACACGGAGCATGTCTTGTCATATTGAAGGACAAAAAGTGGATTTTCAGGGATGAGGAGGGCCGGGGAGCTGGGCTGGAGGGATTCTTGCTGGAGCAGTGGTTCTCAGCTCACACTGCTGTCAGAGTCAGCGTGAGTGTCCCTTCCAGGGTCCACTTTGGTGTCTCAGGCGAGTCCTGTGCATCTGAGGTTGCTGGGCTGCCCTGGGGTCCTGCTGTGAGGTAGAGCCAGGGTTCAGGGCTCATATGGATGTATGTGGACAGTGGATCACTCTTGTAGGTTTTAAACCATGATGTGGCACAGTCAAGCTTGGATTTTGGAAATATGTCGGGTGGCAGGACTGGAGAATGGGGGTTGGTCAAATTTTTGAAAAATCTATTTTCGTTTTTGATCCATGTAAGTGCACATATTTATGTGCTATGGCGTGACATTTCAATACATGTATACAACGTGTAACCATCAGATCAGGGTAATTGGCACATCCATCACCTCGGACACTCATCATTTGTTTGTGTTGGAAACACTGAAAATCCTTTCTACCAGCTATTTTGGGATATGCAATAATTGTTGCCAACCCTGGTTATCCTACCAAGCGATGGAACATCAGAAGTTGTTCCTGGAGTCCAGGGCACCCCTGTACCCACTGGCCATCCTCTGGGGGAGGGAGTGTAAAGCATAGAGATTCCCAGACAGGCTAGGGCTCTTGTAATAGCTTAGCAGGAGGTAATGACTTTTTGGTGTGCAGCTGAGACAGTGGGAAAGAGGAGGAGCGATCTTTAAGAAGAAGGTGCATGGACAGGATCCAGAGGATGGCTCCTTGCTTCATGGTGTTTGGAACTGGTTGTTCCTGATAGAACAATTTCCTTTGGGAATGGGTCCCAAAGTTTGTGTTTGATGAATGAGGTCAAAAAAGCTGCTTTGCAATTTAGGATTCTCAGGGATTCAAAGAAAATTCTGAAGGATCCTGGGAGAGAGATAAGGAATGACTCAAAGCATCTTGATCAAGGAAGGAAAAGGACCAGTTCATGGTGTGCAAAGACCTTGTACAGACGGACAGGGAGAAAAGCAAGTCAGAGCAGCAGCATGTCCAAAGGAATCCCAGAAAGGCAGGTGAAAAGTTATTGGCTAAATTAGTTAATTACTGGAAAAGGTTCTCTGCTGAAAAACTGTCCAAGTCAGTACCTTAAAGCATTCCGCAGGGTGGTGGAGAGGATCGGGGAGGATCGCATGTCAACTGGGACTGATCAATGTGGTCCAAAATGCTTGCTATATTCAGGATAGCCAGGAGATGGCACTGTTGTCCTATCAGGAGCCTCTCCAGCGTCCCTTCTCAATTCCCTGAAGTTCTGGGGCTGTGATCCTACTTCTTTCCTCTCTCTGGTCCCATCCTCTGGAAAGTCAGCCTAGGTGGTCCGGCTCAGCACGCCTGCACTTGGTGGTTGCTCGGGTAGTGTAGTTGCTGGATTAGTGCAAGAATAGGTAAGGAGGCTCTACCTTGATGAGACTGATGGCGAGAGATGAGCTGTACCCCCAGACATGGTACATGGGAGCTAGGCAATGGAAGTTGTCAGCGTGAAGAAAGGTGAATGAGGGAGCCCTGGAAGGAATTTCAGGCGGTTCTTAATTTTCATATGGTTTCCAAAGTCTTCCTGTTAGTTGGTCATTTCTATGGGGGAAATGCACTGAATTTTAATTTCCAACGTTCTAGAAAGAAATTAGGTTCCTGGTTTTCCCCTAAAATTCTCCTTATCTAGAAAACAGATGAAATGCCGTACAACTCTAAGGACAGAAGTAGAAAACAACAGTATTTCAGTAGTATTTTCATTTAAAGGAAATGAAAGGAAAAGCAGTTTTCATTTTGGTGAGTAAAGAGAATTAGGTTTAATCAGGGAAGGCTGAGGAGGCGGATGGGGCTTTCCATGAAACTTCTGGAGACATCTGAGTTCTTGACAGGGTCATAGCCAGGGCCTGACTGCATTCAGTAAGTCTGACCCAAAGGAGGTACTCCTGCTAGTTCAGCAGTCTTTGAGGGGTCCAAATCAGCGGACCGGCCTGGATTGGGGTGCCCCATATGTGGAAACACTGGGCAGGAATCCGAAGGCTTTGGGTTCCATTAAGGGCTGGGTAGGGTGGTTCTGTTCTCTGGATTTTGTTTCCTTCATTGATAAAATGAAGGTACCTCACATGAGGTAATGGAAGTGCTCTGGTTGTAAAGCCCTCCAAGACCGTAACAGTGTGTTTGGATCTCTAAGTCTTTGTAACTTCATTGCAAACATTTGAGGATATGTTTTCCTTGATGGGGGTGTATCTCTAGTCAGCTCTAAGGATATGAGGAGCCAACAGGATTATACGGTTCACAATAGAAGAGAGAGAAAGCCTCGGGGGAGAAAGAGAAAGTTTGATAAATGTTAAGGATCCCTTTCTCCCTGACCTGGCTGCGTTGTCTGATTGTAGGGGCTGTTGCTTTTTTCTTGAAAGTTTCTCCTCTGAGTCCTAGGACACAATTCTCTCATGATTGTTCTTTTATTCTTATTAGTAATACCCACTAGTTATTGAGGACTTTGTGTTAAGTGCTTTATATGCATGATCTCATTTAATCTTTTCCTTCCTAGGCGATAAGGACGATCATTAGCTGAGCTCTGCAGATCAGTCTTAATGGAGAGATTAAGTCACCAGCCTCAATTACATAACGGGGTGGTGGTGGCTGACATGAGGTTTGGGACTCTAGTCGCCAGTCCCATCCCGTAGCACTGAGGAATGCTTCTGCATGGTCCTTGCAAGCTGTCCCTGGCACTCTGTCAGTGCCCCTTCACAGGTGCACCTTCACAGCGTTGGCTGACGCCCTGCAAACCGTGCCTCCTTGCTCAGCTTTGTCCCGTGTAACTCTCTGTACTTGTGTGTCCTCCTGGCAGCCCATCCTCCTTCCAGCCGTGGGACCCACCTTGAAGGCAGCTTGACAACACTGTGTTGCAGTAGTTTATGTGACAGTCTGTCCCCTCAGCCAGGCTGTGAGCTCTTCCAGGATGAGTTCATATCACTAGCAACCTGTGTGCTCTGTGGGAGTGTATCAGTCAGTGTTTTTGTCGCCCTGATCGAATATCTGACGTGTAGAACTTACGCATTTACTTTGGGATTCCTGTGTTAGAAGGTTCCATCCCTGTGTGACTGGCTCTGAGGCAGAAACACCACGGCAGAAAGGGGTGGCATAGGAAAGCCACGCACTTCACGGCATCCAGGAAGAGAACAGCAGGGAAAGAGATGGAGGGAAAGGGGAAAGGGACCAGACAGAGCCCCGAAAGTCACAAGCCCACACCCACACAGACACACCAGAAGCACACCTCACTAATCTCCTAGGTGTTGCCTAAGGCAATCAAACTGACAGTCAAGATTAATCATCAGACATAGCAAGCAGTCAAAATTGTTTATGGAAAAAGATTGTTTATGGGCTAAATAGCCTAAGGAGGGGGCAAAGTGTGCACACATAGCCCTCCCTGAATAAGGTGCCTCTTTGTGGGGACACTTTTCTCTCTTCCTACAGAGGCATTTGAAAACATCTCTATGAAACTAAGATGGAAACAGAAGTCCGGTTGGAATGATTCTTTGTTTAGTCTTACAATCCTGTGGCTTTCAATTTGGGGATAATATCAAGGTGGAGGGGGAAGAGGTCGGAGCAGAAGTGCTCCAGTGAGTTTGGCTGGACCCGGGTGGGGGGCTGCCTGCCCTGAGCTCTGGCTCCCCTCGAATGTGCGGCAGCCATTTCTCCTCCCTAGGTGATTTCTGGGCAACATCCCACTTTTGCCCTGGAAGGTCCAGGAGTGTTCTGAAGAAATGAGCAGGAAAGTGAATGAAAGCCTCTGTTCCCTGATTGTCCTGAATGTGGGTGACAGGAAAGGGGCCTAGGAATCAGCTAGAAATACACAAATCACCTGTCTGGCAGGAGGCAGGGAAAAATGCATGTCTGTGCTTCTTAAGCCCTCTCTAAATATGGTCAGCACAGCATTTTGCCAGCACATTTCCTTATCCTTACCCTTCCTATGAAACTAACAAGCTACAGTGTCAGTGTCCGTATCGGGGAAGGGAGCTGTGCTTCTCAGCTGGCTACTGAGCACTTGAAATATGGCTAGTTAGTGTGCCTGAGCTACTCGACCTTTAATTTCACTTGATTTTAATAATTTTAAATAGCTACATGTGACTCACGGTACCATACTGGACAGTATGGAGATCATGTCCATCACTCCTGGTTCTCCTGGACAGTTCTACTCCAGATAGCCACTGCTTTGATAGCAAGCTCAGCGTTATCAAGAGAGGAATCAGAAGCATCTATCACTTCATAACCAACACAAAGCTATGGCAAGCCTGAAAATAAGGTGTGCATTCACACACACATGCACACGCACACGCACACAAGCACATATATTTCTATCCCTAGTGTCTACTACAGAGGCTCTAGATCCTCCCTTCTCAGCACCAACCTAACCCAGAGCCCTAATTTGCTTACATCTTTGCTATTCTCCCCCTTCCCTGTAGGAATGTATTGATTGGTCTTACTGAAGGGAAAGTTGCTAAGTGTTAATTGTGATCCTCAACTTGACTGGCTTGAGGGAGGCCTGAAGAGGTGACTGGATTGTGACCACTAATCTCATCAATGGGTCCCCATTCATGAGCGCATAGCTAATTTGGCTATTAGGAGGCGGGGCCTACTTGGAGGAAGCCCACGCTAGGGGTGTGAGCGTGAGTACTGTGTCTGGTCCCAGGTGCCTCCTCTCGGGCTCTTGCCCTGCTTTCTGCTTCCTGTCTTGAGTTGAGCAGCTCCCCTCTGCCGTGCTCCTCTGCCATGACGTCTCTGTGCCTTGGAGTGAGCTAACCGTGGATTCAAACCCCTGAATCCATGAGCCAAAGACAAGCCCCTCCTCCTTTAAACTGTGAGTGTCCCAGAGATGAAAACTAACACATGCTGCCGAGGAACCTCCCTGCGCTTTTCTGCAGCTTCCACCTCTGAAGGGTTCCATCAGGGGCTGTGTGCTTTGCAAAGAGGGAAAGAGAGTCACATTCCTAGTTTTCCAAGCTCTGATTCTACTGGAAGAAAGCAGTGACCCAGCAGGACAGGGCCTTTTGTATCCCAGAGGGAATACAGTTCCTGCATCGGTCATTTCTGAGTCGTGACTGAGCAGGCGTAATAAATACCTGCTGTTAAGGAAGCAACTGACTGTGGCAAGTAAGGAGGCTGGGCACAGCTTTCAATTTTTAAAAATATTTATTTAAATAAAATTTTTCTTTTTGTGTGTCTAAATTTTACAGAAAAATACTGACAAATACAATTTCCTCTTTGCCTTTCCTTCCCAAGAAACAAAAAGCAAAAAGCAAGTCCATCAAGTGACGGAGAAAAGCCCTCTGGCTGTCATCTGAGTCTGGCGGAGGCTGTGCAGAGTACAGGCCAGGACGCGGGGGTGTCCTCTCTGAGCGTGTGCTGGCTTAGGAAACCTCTTCTGTATGAATCATTTCTGTTCCTCATTAACTAACCCCCGCTCCCCACCACGGGCACAGGTTCTGAGGTTCTACTGATTGCCAGTACAAACGGTGAGGAATAAAGGGACAGAATTGGCACAGTACAGGGAAAAGAAGGGATCGGAGACAAATGGGAAAGAAAGATAAGAATAAAGTGAGAAGAAAAAGGAAAGGCTATTTGCCTTAGATGCTTTCATGCTTCCATTCATCTGACAGGAAATGTGGGGGCCTGTCACATACCCGGTCCTATTCTAGGCACTCTGTAAAGCCTGGGGCGGGTGTAAATCCCATTCAGTTTGGGTTCTGGGTCTCATGCTGTGGAAGCAGTGAAGGAGTGAGTTTCTGAGTGTCTCATGCCCGGGGTTGGAGCAAGTGCATTAACCAGGAGGCAGCAGGGCTGCTGTGCCTGGAGACAGAGGCCTGGTCACAGCCATGACAGCTGACTGCGGCCTTTACTCAAACTGGCAGCCAGTTGCCATGGAGACCCTGATCCAGGTGATCCACTCTCTTGGATCATATCTGACACCCTATCTTGGCTGTCAGTTCCCACATCTCCCCCAAATCATCCACTTTAGCGGGACTGAGAGTTGAAAATGTGAAGAACAACTCGTCCTGGTGGGTAGCAGCAGACGGGGAAGCGTGTGGTGGGGAGATGCCGCGCCAGGGCCATCCTGTGACATGCAGAGCACAGCTGGATGCTCCGACACAAGCTGTCCCTCTGATAAGGGGACAGATAATCAGAATGCCTATGCCTGAAGGCCTAAGGAATTTAGAGAAAGGGTTAGGAGTGACTGGCTTTGAAATGCATGCAGGCCTAAATGATGAGTCACATGGTTATCTGTTAGGAAATCCTGATTGCAGAGTCACTGCCAGGTACCCACTCTCCACAGCCCGGGGTACACCGGGAGGGCAGGTGAATACCAGGTACCCAAGTGGGCAACAGAGCACAGCTTTCTGTCCACACAGTTACTGAGTTTGGTTTTTTGTAATGTTTTTACTAATATCTTTATGATTAAGAGGGTCATAAAGGTTATGGGGTTGGCTTGAAACTATGCCTGTCATACCTTAGGTATCTTATTAATTAGACAGTGGTTTTGCCACTGTCTAGAATAACTTCCATGGGAAAATATTTCAAGAAAGCTCCCTGGCAGATGTGCAAATGAACTGTTAAAATACAATCTACTCCCAAGTTGGGAATTACTTATCTTTGTAATATCCTTGCAATAGAATCAAAACACAACCAGCTCATCATAGAGGGAGATTCACTCTACTTCTCACCCTCAGCCTGGGGCAGGGGAGAGACTCTCAACTCACTGAAGACCTCAGGGCACATGTGTCTGCTGGACCTTTGGTACTGCACATGCGGTCCTGCAAATCAGTACCTAGTCTGGTCTACTACAGCAAGGAGGGGGCTCTTGCAGAAGAGAAGGTCACTTTGGGGGAATGGTGAGGTGTTACAAGTTTACCCTTAACCTTATCTCATAGCCAACAGCAACCATAGTTATGAGTACCCACTTGCCTGAGCTGCAAGATAAGTATTAGTAAACGTTTCATTCCTCCAGCCTGGTTTCACTGGACCTCTGCTACTCCTGCACTCCTGTAACACACCATGCACCCCCTGCACACTCATGAAACCATTCCCAGTGTTCCTGCTCTGAGGCTGTACTGGAGACTGTCTTTAATTCCTTCCCTACTGAAAACCTTTGGTTACAAAGAAGATACCCAGCTCAGTGTAGCATCTTATCACCCTTTCCTTCTGTAGCATACACATTGCACAGGTACATAATTGCAGCCTACTGAAGTGATGAGTGGGTTTCCATAGCTTTCTAGGAGTCACTGCCAAGAGTGGTTGGTTCTTGCTTGGAAAATCCACCTTGGTTAAAGCGGTAGCATCCCAGAGAGGTCTTGGACGACATTAAACAGCCATCAGTGGTAATGAGGACCTTGTCATGAGTTCCAAGAAAAGAGCTTTCAGTGAATTTTAATCCATCATACTTGAAACTTTTAGGCATAGGGAAGGGGCCAGAAGCACAGGAACTTGGTGTGTCAATATACACTGGGAGGGGCCTGTACCAGGTTGCTGGAATGTCCAATTGTGAATATTGCAGTAAAAGGCTATGTAAATATAGGAATAGGAAAGCATACATCTCCAACCTGAGTGGTATATGGAACAGACAGTGCACAGGGTCTGGCCTGCCTGTGTAATGATGCAGATGTGCCTAAATGTGGGCATATTTCTTTATGAGACACTTCTGCATGTATATATAATGTACTGCTTTGCATGATGTATGCATTTAATGCCTATCTGATGAACAGACTAAACTTGCCCAAGTACCTATTATTTGAGTTTGCATAAGTGTTTCTGGTGTGTGTGTACATGTGGAAGCCACATTGATCACATGGATGAATGTTCTTTGTGCTTTAGTTTGTAAGGTATGCCAGAGAGAAGTGGAATGCACATCTGGTTCCGTAGCGAGGCACTGTTATCAGACACATAGCTGCCAGGGCAGTGCGAGAACTGTCCGTGTGCTCTCCTGAAAGTGTCCTCCACTGGGACACTGAGTCTGAGGTTTGTTCCTGGGTTGAGTAGTTATTCTGTGCACATGAGAGCATCATCTTAGGGACTCCTCCTTAATCTCTGTGTGGTTGGAGGGAGGTCTGACCCCAGCAGGAGGATACCTGTACTTATTGCTAATAGACAGGAAGTGATGGCCTCTTCTCCATTTGCAGAAGCTTGGGCTGGGCAGAGATCCAGAGGTCTTCCTCATCCTTTTTCTTCTTTTTCTTGTGCCGTTCTGGCTGTTGGCGGTTCTTACCCGCTCGGCTCCAGCAGCAATGACAGCAGATGAAGAGAAGGGTGAGGATCATCAACAATGGTAGCCCCAGGAGGACAGCCAGGCAGACAGTGTTGAAGACACCCTCTTCGTTTTTGGTCACGATGGTGTCCCAGATGGAGCTGAAGAAGGAGCTGATTTTCTCCATGGTGCTTGGCTGGTCTGCGGACAGATGTCCCTTGCAACTCACTAGCAAGTCCTGGGTTCAAGAAGACACAGCCTTGGATGCTTGGGATTTATTCCTCTTTCAGCTTTGAGTTTGAGCATGCCACAAGACCTGAGGAGATTGAAACAGACAGTTCAAGAGAAATCCAATGGGAATGGTCTATAATTTTAACAGATCTCCGATTTTAGGCTTAGGAAAGGGAAGAAAGTGAAGATTTCCAAGGAGTCCACTGAAGTTGTACTGAGATAAATAAGATAATTTCATGCATTTAGTCAATAAGCACTAACCAGTTCTTGCTATGTAGAAATACAGTATTAAGCTTATGGATAAAATAATATGACATCAGGTCTGGTATCATAATAGATGATCAAGAGTTGTTAGATAAAGCAATCCATGTGTATATCCAGTGTCTGGTTAGGGGCCAACTCCCTAGACTACACTATGATCTTTAGCTCTTCTCTCCGCTGCAGCTTACCTGACAGGTGTTGAATATGCACTCCCCGTGGGACAGTTTGGTGCCTAACCTTCTATGTAGGTATCTTGCCATTTTTGAAGCACAACATGGAATGGCTACATCCTGCTGCCTATGGCAGGAGACACTTGGGCTTCCTCAAGGTTAAAGGGTGAGCAGTCCTCCTCCTGTCTCATTCCTGCCTCCTGTTTACTTGCTGTCTTCCCTGCTCCATGTCTCCTCCCCTCCTTATATCCCACACCTGTGTCTGCTTCTCTGTACTTTCTACCTTCTACTCCCTCTTTACCTTCTGTTTTTGGCTGCTTGGTTCCCAAGTCTCCTTCCTGCCTGTTTCTTTTCTTGTCAGGAGGAAACTGGAGTGGAGTCTCAGGATGCCTCTCTGCTCCTGTGCTGATCTCAGTGTAGAGCAGGGACTAGTCCCCTCTTCCTTTGTCACCTCTTTCTACCGCTCCACATGTGTCTCAGGGCTCAGCTGCTAAGTGTAAGAGGCTTCCTTGGTATCTGGAATCTGTGGGTTCTTAGGTCCAAACAAGACTTTGAGGACAAATATGACTCAAGAAAATTTATAAGACTTCCTGGTGCAAGACATTGCCCTGGACCCTAATATTAGAGTCACTGATTAGTGAGCTGGAGACTTAGAAATCATCCTGATCCACTGTCACTTAAAGATGACAGATATGAAGCTCAGAATGGGAAGGTGACATGCCTGGGGCCACACAAAGCTGCCAGACTTCCTGATAATGAGTCCAGCTATTTTGCAAGGGTGCTGGACGTGTGGGAGAATTAATGACGATAATACTATTTTGTGATGTATTTTGCTCAGTGTTTTTCTAATCACATTCACGTGCATTTTATCTTTTAAGCGAGCAACAAAATGGTGCAGTGACTGGACAGATGCAGACTAGCCAGGCTTCATTTTATTGCCTTGTTCTGGAAGGTAAAGGTATGGCCCTCTTGGGTGGTGTGTTATATACACAGTACCTCAGAGGTTGTCCTGCAAGGTCTCATTCCTGGGATGAAATGCTCTGTAAATGTCTCATATGCTCAGTGACTGACCTGTGCACCTTCCTAGGCCCCACCTGACATTAGTCCTGGTCAGGTGGCCTGATACCCTACTCCTGATGAACACAATTTTTGCAATTATATAAATTGGCACTTACTACTGTGCCCTTTGGCCTACAGTGACTGAGGTAATGCTGTAAGACAATAGTACTTTTAGCTAACTTTTATTAGCTACTTAATTCGACGCAGGCTTGTATTCCTATTAAGTCACTTAATCATCATTACAGCCTTATGAAATAGGTACCATGATTCCCCTATTCCACAGTTGAAGAGATGGAGACAGGAGTCACAAGTGGTTGACTTGGCCTTCCTCCTGGGGTGCTTGGCTCCAGATCCCTAAGAGGTGAGCTCTTCACAGGTTGCTCCGGGGCCTCCTATTCCTTTGTACGGAGTTAACCCATTTTTGGCATGGAGCCCAGGATTTGCAGACTCTTACAATCCTTGGCTATTCCCCAGACTGACTTAAACGTTTATCCCAGTCTATTGTGGAAGAGACTGCAGAGATTTACTTTCCATTGTTAGGCCCTTGCCAAATGCTGAAAGAAACATAAAACAAAGCCCAAGTCCTTCCCAAGTGCAGATTTAGAGAAAGCACATGGCTGCCTACATTTAAATCCAACATGCAGCAGAGAAAAGAAGCCACATCCCCTTATTGAAGCCTTTTCCAAAGTCCCTCCTGGGGCTGGGAACTTCCCAGTTCATGGATTTGCCCACACACCATTGGGTGCCCAGCGCTTCACAGAGAAAAGCAATCCCTGGTGCTCTGATAAATCCTTGGTGCTCTCCTTTCATATCATCTCTTATCTTCTAGGCTTAGCTTCTCTGGCTGTGATCTTTGCTTTTACCTCAGCCTTCTGTGACCCATGTAATTTTGGTACATTTGTTGTGGGAAGACTTTGGATGCTTTTCTCTACTTTGATCCTCCACATAACCATTCTGGGACCCAGCATCCTTACAGTATAATCAGTGACGCATGTGAATCTTTTGCAAAACATCCCATCTCCACAATTACTGGTAAATTATTCTACATCAGGGTGATTTTGATCTTTGCAGGGAACACAAAAGCACCAAAGGCTCACTCTCCGGGTCAGCTGTGGGGAGAGGAGGGCAGTGAGCTTTAGGAGAAGGTTAGGAAAGTTTGCATGAAGGTGGAGACATTTAAGAAGGACCTTGAAAGGTAAGTTGGATTTTGGCAGAGAAATATAGGTGAAAAGAAATTCAATTTAGGCAGAAAAATTTCTAGAGCCTGAGAGGGAGAACACGACATCTTCTGATGAGCCTGGGGTTCAGGGTAGGAGAGGAGATGACAGAAGATAAGCTAGACTGGCCATCAGGGACAGGGTAGAGATGGATATTCATTGGGGAGCTTTGTAACAGGAGAAGTTGTGATCAGAGCTGCCCTTTAGGAAAAGATCCAAAGATATAAAAAGCTTTGGAACATGTTTATTTTTTCCATTAAAGACAAAGAATTTACTGGATCACTTAAAGATTTTGAGATGTGTAATAAAGTAAGTTCTGAATTACCTGGCATTTATGGTAAAAAGAGAGAATCATTTATGCACTTCTGTGTTGTTTCCACTTTCAAAGAAAGAAAATATACTTAGCCATGTAAAGAGAGAAATAGTTCTCTGGCACTGATGGCAAATGTTTTAGGAGAGCTCTTTATCCACTGAACACTTACTAGACACCTAAATGTGCCATGCCTTTGTTAGGTGGTGTGGATTTAGCAATGAATGACAGAGTTACAGTTTCTGACATTGTGGAGCTGTGTATATTCTAGAGGAGTTATTATTGAAGGATCGTGTGATAAAAGACAAATACGATAAGCAAACTCCAACTGAGGCTGCTTAGTTGGCTGAAATAAAAGCATGCATTTGAATTCCGTGTTTTCCTGTGTGTGCCAGGACCTCCTACCTCTCCAACCTTTTGTTTTAAACTCATCCATCCCATGGCACCTAAAATGGCCTTTGAATAAATAGATTTCTTTTCAAACCTGGGCTGTCAATAACTCACTTCTGCATTTCTAACGGTACTTATTTGAGTCTGTTCTCCACACAGCCAAAGAGAATATTCATTAACATTTGGGAACCTAGTCTGGGGAAAATTTGATTAAAAGGTATTCTTTATATTTTTTAATCTAAGAATTCTCTTCCAGGCTCCCCTAGGTTACTTGCTGAGCTCTGCTAATCTATAATGTTTCATTAGTATTTATGAGCTTTGCATTATTAGCATTTCCAGGAAACAATCAAATATCTCCTTGGTGGTATGAATTAAAAGTTGGCACTTCTGTGGGATGTTTTGCAAAAGAAGCCACACTTTGGGCTGTGGAATGCACTCTGGGAGACCTTTGCCTTTTGTTAGCTTTCAAGTGTTGCTGACACTGTTTGAAAGAGAATTCATCTGTTTTTGTAAAACCAACAATAGGTGCCAATCAGCGGTCCCATTTGACTGTGATTGTGTGTGTGTGTGTGTGTGTGTGTGTGTGTGTGTGTGTGGTTGTGTGTGTGTGAAGAGAGACGGGAAGAGTTAAATTTGATTCTCTGGAAACCAAATATTATTTCTGTAGCCCCTGTGATGTCTGGGGGATGGGGAGAAAGTCCTTTTTCCCTCCAGTTTCTGTCTGCATGTGTAGAAGGTGTTAATGGGAAGCAAGATACCAGGACCAGAAGACTGACCTGGGTTCAGCTCTGGGTTAACCTGCACGACCTTGGAAGTACGTGAGCCTCTGCTACACAAAAAAAGTTAATAGACTTCCCTCATAGTGATGTTGTGAGGATTAAAAAGGCTCAATCTATTTCATGCATTTTGTAAACTGTAAAATACTATACAAACATAATCCATAAAACAGTGGGTTATCTCCAAATAACAATGGACTAATCCCAGCCTGGAGCTTTTTCTCCCCATCCCTAACCTCTAAACCCAATTGTCATTGGTAAAGAACTACAAGCCCCCATCTCATTCCAATGAAAAGGGCTTTCTGAGTGACTGCCTGCTTATGGCCTGTCTTTAGGTTTGTGACTGTGAATCGAGACTGTATGACGAAGGTTCACCTGGGGAATATCTGCTGGTGTCTGGAGGACTGTTGAACTCATGGATAAGGTCTGTGGCGAATGACCAGCTGTCTGCAAGCCCCAGCCTCCCGCCTAGGTTTGGGGACCTGGGGAGTATACAGAAGTGAGCCATTCCTCAGGGAGGTCTCATCCATGCTCTGTGAGCCAGATGCTGCTGTGATGCTATTCTCTGAACTGGCCCAGGCCTGGTGTTCTTCTGGAGCTTTCCAAGACCAAGATGGTGGTAGGCTGGGGGTGGGGTGGGGATGGCAGGCAGGACATTCTAACTTGCATCAGATACTCATTATTCTTGCTTTTTAGATGAAATTATACATGTGAAGTTCTAGAATAGTGTCTGTCCAATAGTAAGTGCTTTCTAGAAATGTTCAAGATAGGGACCATGAAGGTACCCAAGTAAATCCCTAAACCCAACCACAGAGTGACCTCTTGAGTACTACAGATCTTCAGCCTTCCTGTAGCAGAGAGGTTCAGGTCTCTATCAGAACTGTAAGAGATTCCTCTGCTGT